CAAACATAATGAAACCTGCTCTAGTTGCAGCACATGTTACACCTGTACTTAAAGTATTAAATAAGTCAACAAAACCTGTTGGTGGTATATCTGAGTAAGTATCTTCAAAGGAGTATTTTTTACCATTCACAACAATAAAGTCTTCTGGTGTCAAAAGAGCAAAACAGGCTTTAGTCGTCATTGTGTTTAAAGTTAGTTTACAATATCGTCCTTGAGGACTTTGTAAGTTTGTTGTTATAGAATTATATGACTCAGGGTTTTTAGTCGTAATAGTATAAACCATTATATCTTCTGCCATTTATATATATTTAAAAAGTTTTTCTGAAAGTGGAGAAGAACTTCATCTAAACTTTCACATGGCGTTTCTTGAAGTTCTCTGTCTAAGAAGTTCAAATATTTTGTAAAGACATAGAACTTTCCTTTGTCTACACGAACAAACAAAACAGGGTCTTTCATATCGTTCAAAAAGTGTGTAAAGTCCTTTACATGAAATAAAGTCTATATTATTTTTCTTCAAACATCTTTCAAGAAGTTTTGACATTTTTACTTAGCAAATAAATTTTAATGAAATGTTGTGGTCGTCAAATATTTTTATGACGTCTGGGAAACTATACTTTAAGTTCAACGTTTCACCTCCTTTCATAACGTATATCTTGTCAATGACATTATATGAAACACCACAGCAACTAATGTCGGGTTCTATTTCTTTGATGTTTATATCGTCTGCCTCTGTCAAAAGTTTCAATAGTTCTTTCAAAACTTCATGAGGTGCAATGACATATGAGTTCACTTTTACAGGGTTGTGTTCGACCAAGTTTAACATTATACTTAAAGCTTGACAAATCTTCTCCTGAGTTTGAAGTTTGTCTTTCAGTTGTTGGTAGTCGTTTCGAATATCTGCAACAGAACTTAAGTCTCTGCTAACTTCAGGATATGTTGGTTGTTCTTTTACAGGAACAATTGCTATACCATCTTCGTCTTCGTATGGTTTCCCCACTTCAACATCTCTGTCTTTGACATTGACAATAACACTTTGACTGTTTGTTTGAGTTGGTGAATTTAACTTCACATCTGCCACCGCCATTAAACCTTTTGAAACACTCACGCTTCTATTTTTCGGAAATGACATTTTACTTAGAATAAAAAGATGGACGTATTCGAGTATCTCTTCGAATTGAAGCAGAACAAAGTTTACACACACAAACAATACAAATACATTGACAGAATAGTTCTTTATACAAACAATTGTAAATGTTATAGAATAGCAATATTTGCTGAACCAAAATATTTCCATAAAGCAAAGAAAGTTGGTATAACTGAAATGGTGAAAGTTCTTGAAGCAGACAAAAATATAACAACAAAACTTACAGATATTTCTAAAGGTAAGTTTATCTTACAATATTATGTCAAAACTGGCGTACTGTCAATATTTGACGGAGAGAAGTCAGTTCAAGAACAACTTACTGACCTGCTGCCAAAATCTGCTCGATGGAAGCTGTCGTTATGCCAATCTGAGGAGCCCCAGCAGGTTTCATCGAACGAATCTTCAAAAGAGCATCTTCCGTGAAAAGTGCTATTGGTTTTGTAAACTTCTTTGCTCTCAATTCATCTGGACCGTCTCTGTCACCAGTATATTGTATTTGAACTGTACCAACAGTTGAAATACCACCCATAAAGTCTTCTGAGTCAGCAAATGGAATGCCAAGCCAAAAGTTTGAACGGTCTCCATTTGTATATTGAGTTTTTTGACCTCCTGTATGAGTCCATACTTTCACATATGGCATAATAGAACTTTGCATTTCAGGGTTAATGGTTGTTGTGAAGTTGTTGTTAAAGTTCATAGCATCTAATGTCAAGTTGTATGACCTCATATCCTCAACTGTAGAATATTCTTCTCTTGGATAATATTTGCCATCTATGTTTATATGATATTTAATACCGGGGTTGTAGAAACAAGAATAGTCATTTATAGTTCGTCTGAACAGTACAAACATAGTATCTGCATGTTTCATTGCAGTTGTTAAAGCAATATCTGTTCTTGCACCTGGGTCAGCACTTTGGTTTCCAACTTCACCTGCAAAGTCTTTGACAGATATTTGGTGTATAGGGAACATAAGTGGAACTGCAATATATTTGGCAGCTAAAGCATTTGAAATATCTGGGTCCAACATATAGACTGCAAGTCTGCTTTCTATTCTCTTGCATTCAAACTTTTCGCATGTAAACTTAACTGGGTCCCAAGCAGTTCCAGCAGCATTGAAATAATAGTTTACTTCATTGTTGAAGTTTGAGAAACCAAAGTCTAAGTCAACTTTGTCTTTGCAAAATTCGGCGAATGACGTTTGATTTGTTCCCTTTACGTCTGTAATAGTGAATGGGTCTTGTGTTGGTGCAATGACTAAGTTATTTTTGCTTGGAGTAAGTTCAATAGAAATTTTTCCTGCCCAGTTTGGCAAGTATCTTAAAAACCTGAAGATGAGGAAAGATGACAAAGGAACTCTAAGTTTCAGTTTTACTTTGGTTACTGCTGCTGCAGTTTGTCCAGAAAGGTTAACATAAACTCCTGGAACGTTAGGGTCAAGTCTTCTTATTTTCTCAATATTTGCATACTGGTCTGTTTGTTCTCTAGCTTGTGGTTGTACTGAGTTTCTCAAAGCGAACCATTCATAGTTTGCCCATTTTACTGTTTGAACTAAGTCAGAGTTAGAATATATCTTATATCCCATGAAAACTTCTGGAGCATATTGGTATCCGACATAGAAAATTCCATTGCAACCTTTCTTGTCAGACAACTTGGCAGAAGGTTTTATTTCAATGTCTTGTTCCACGTATAAGAATGAGTTGTCAATAGAAATAATATGAAACCTGTCGCAAGCAATATCTACTGTTGTTGAAGAACCTTCTCCAAACTCACCTACGTTTCCATAAGAAACAGCAGTTGTATATTCGTAAGTTCCAGGAACTATTTCTGACCTTCTAATGGCATTGTCGCATTCGTTATACCATTCGGAAACATTTCCGTTCATGGCATCCAAAACTGTTGGCGTTATATTCTGAGCGGCGTACATTTCATATGGGTAAAAATATAGAATAGTTGGATTTATATGTCATAATAGAACCCACTCGGACCAAGCTTTACTTTCTTCCTGACTGAGTTTTTAACTCTTCTTTTTCCTTCATTGCCACTACTTTCACTAGATGAAGTTACTTCTTCACTATTTTCACTTTGTTCTACTCTTCTTCTTTGGTGTCGCTTTTGGTAACTTGCCCTCTGCTTCAAGTCGTTGCATCTTTGCCTCATGTTCACCTAGTATGTTGTAAATTTCCCATGTCCTTTTTGCCTTTGGGCTCTGGTCGCCCATCTCAGGTAACCTATATCCTAGAAAGATTTTGTCATAGTTTGTATTTGAGTCTTCGCGTATTGTTTGCATGACTCTTTCCTGAGTTTCCGGTTCAAGCTCTTCAAACAGAGCTTGTCCATATGGAATAAGCTCGTTTCCAAATATATGTTTTTGTAGCCATTCTGGTTTTCTTTCCATGTTACCAATAATATCTTTTGTGAATGGGAAAGCTTTTACCCAATGTTTCAGTCTTGCGTCATTTATTTCTGTAGTTGGTTTTATTTTGTCAAGGAACATGTTTTTCAATACTAACATTTCATTTGGTACTGTCCATTTGAGTTTTCTTAAATATTCATCCCTTCTCGGTTCATTGTCTGCAAAGTAAGTTTTTATGACATTTTGTAAACTTTCGTTTGCAAGGTCATGTACAATAGGTTCTCTTCCTTCTATCTCCCTAACTTTCTTTCTAAACTCTTCACCAAATATACCATCTCTATGGTTCTGTGTAGTTCTTTGAGATAAATGTTTTAGAACGTCAGGTGTTATATTTCCATCAGCCATGTTCATTTCATACTGGTCCAAAATATCTGCATGTTTCATATCTTTCAATGGCATTAAAGCCGCGCTGAAAATACCAGCTATATCTGGTTCACCATTCACTTCCATTGCGTCTACAACTTCTTGGAATTGTGGTTGTAAGTTTATGAACCACCTATCCGGATTAGCTTTATGACCCCATCTCATTGTAGTTCCATAGTCTGCAGAAACAAAAGTAGGTTTGTTTCCATATTGGTTAGGTTCTGAATGAACTTTAAACAATGTTTCATTTCTATATGTTTTGGTGAAATTTAACCTTTTATTTTCACCGAGTTCAGCCAAAGATTGAACGTTATATGGTCGTAAGTAAAAAGGATTGTTGTATTTGCGTACACTTTCTTTCAGTTCTTCCATTCTATGCTGAATATTTTCATCTGATGTTGGAGTCTTTTGTATGTCGGCGAACATTTTTCGATATTCTTCTACTATGTCAGCTGAATTTTTTAGACTCTTGGAAAGATTCCATATTCTCCGCATACTCTTGTTGAGGGTCAAGATTTTTCGGCTGTTCCAAATCTTCATCTAGTTCTGTGAAGTTAGTTTCCAAAGGAGGGACTTGTTCGTTTCCTTCTGGCTCTTCTAGCTGTTGTTGCTGAACTATTTCTTCCATGTCTGGTTGTATCTGAACTTCTTCCTGTGGAGTTTCTTGTACCTCATCTGCTGGCATTTCATATATTCCGAGACCGTTTTTAACAAGTTCCCTATTTAAGTCATCCGCATTCATAACCCTTTCTTCTTTCGTTCCGTCTCTATTTTTTACGCGTTTCATGAAGATAGTTGAATTATCATTTATCTCTGACACCAAATATCTCGGAGTAAATTCATTCATGTCATTTGGATGATATGCTATTAAATCATATCCCTTAGCGAGCTTGTATTTTCCAGGTTTGAAATTATATCCCATTTGGTGCTGAACCATAAAGCTAAATAGGTTCGGGTCAGTATTTCCTTCCTTGAACTTTCTAATAGCTTCTTTATATCTGTCACTAAAGTCAAGAGTATCTGGGTAACCATAATTTTCCTTAAGCATTTTTAAGAATTCTTGGTTTCCTTGTTCTCTACTTCTTTTATGTCCTTGCTCTGTTTGTGGTTGTTGCTGTGCAGTGTTTTGAACTGTTGGTTGTGGTGCAGTGTTTTGAACTGTTGGTTGTGGTGCAGTGTTTTGAACTGTTGGTTGTGGTGCTGGATTTTGAACTGTTGGTTGTGGTGCAGTGTTTTGAACTGTTGGTTGTTGTGTTGGTTGTTGTGTTGGTTTTGGTGCATGCCTGTGTCTGTGTCCATGTGACGATGTAAATGTTTTAGGTAGTCCTGGTGCAGGTGCTTCTCTTGGAGGGTTTGGTGGTATATAAGTTCCACCAGCTGGCACATATGTTCCATCTGCAGCATAATGTCCTACCTGACTTTTCGTTTTTAAGAAAGCATTTACTAGGTCTGTTTTGGTCTGTTGTAACTCTTTTTCTTGACTTTCCACAACAGTTGCTCTAACGGCGTCATAGGCACTTTGAACTGCCTGTCTCGTTGCTGCATCTGTTATTTTCGTCATATTTTGTGCTACTTCTCTTAACTCGTTGTCGAAACCTTCAGACTTCAGTTTCTTTCCAGATGAGAAGTCGTTCACTAGTTTCACCTTACTATGAAGAGCTTCGAAGGCGTTCTTAAAGTCAGCATTCATTAAAGCTTCATTTGAACTGTCTTCATCCGCTTGTATTTTTGTCCTTATTGACCCTATAAGTTGGGCTGCTTTGGCGTTGGCTTGGGCATCTAACCAGTCATTATTAGCTTTTATATATTCTGCGCTTTTCATTGCCTTTTGCATGGCTGCGTCGTTATTTTTACTTTCTTGTGCTAAGTTTTCATACTGTACGGTTTGGTTTTGCAACTGTAAAAGTTTTTCTGCCTTTACATTTGCTTCAACTTCTTTTTTATACTCATCGCTATCCATATATGTCTTCAGGGCTTTTTGTTTTATTTCTTCATCTTTCAGTACTTTATATTGAGTAGTATGGTTTTTCAAATTTATAACATCTTGTTCCATTTTTGCTACTTCTGCTGCTTTTTCTGACACTTTTTTCGCATATTCCTCTGTACTTAGTTCTTTCAGTTGTTCTTCTTTCTTCTTTTTCTCTACGTTTAACTCATTGAGTTTCTTTGTGTGTCTGTCATATTCTAGTTTCTTTTCGTTTTCACTTATTTGTTTCTGTATGTCTATGTTTGACTTTTTGACATCTGTTATTTGATTTTTGAGTGAACTCAAATTCATTTGACTTTGAGGGTTATAAGCTGTTCCGTCTGCAGCTCCACCATAGCCTGCCATTTTCGCTAAAAGTGCCGCTCTTAAACCTCCACTCTGTGCACCAATAACTCGGTTTAAAAGCATAGGGTTGCTTGACATTTGTTGCAACATAGTGGGGTCATTCATCATTTGTTGTTGCAACTGTTGTTGTGGTGTCAGTTTTACTATTGGATGTTTCAATGCTCTCTTCCTCTTACGTATATTCTTACGTAGCTTACGTGGCATTTTAAGTGAAGTAAAAAACGGTTTTTGACAGATGTTTATATGACACTTTTTGTTCAGCACAAAAAACTACTCGGTCAAAGTGTTGTCAGTTTTGTAAAATAACCGTCCTATCTCATTCTATAAGGAGAAAAGGCTTCTCAAAGTATACTTCCTTGGAACGCCTGTAACTTTTCCTGTAGCGACGATAGACCCTTACTTGTCCGGACAAAGTTATACTAAACATCTTCAGGGCTAGAGGGCACGAAGTGCCTGGAGGCCCCACTACCTTTTTTTTTTTTTTTTTTTTTTTTTTAATATTATATAAAAAGTCTCTTTAATATCTATATTTCATATTTTTATCGATTTTTAAAGTTTTTGCGAAAAGTATTCAATTATTTTTGCTATTTGGTCGGGTAAATGTCAGATTTGCGACATTTTCTGATATGATATTCAGATTCTACGTTGATAATAATGCTTATAGAACCCTCTTGCTATTGTGTCAAAATTGCGAAACCGATAGCAAAAATATCTCGCAATATCAAAATTGAGATATTGAGTGAATTATGCATTATAGAGATTAAAAATCTGATTTGTGAAAACATCTCATCAGTTTCTAGCTAATTCAAAAATCTTTACTATCTTATTCGATTAAAATGAAAAGGGAATAGTTTCATTATGCTTTAAATGACAGCCTTATAATATAATCATAGTTTTCGCTCAATATGCAGCATTTTTTTTTCGAAATCTATGGTCAATATCCTAAATACTGATTGCTTTGCATTCATATCTCTTACATTTTCTATACCCACATCACTATTCATTGCTATTCCTATCTTTTTCATTTTTGTTTGTTTCTCATAATTTCTCAAAAAACATGATAACTTGATACTTGTAAATATCATACTTTATAACGTAAATAAGAACTTGACCTATTAAGAAAAGCAGTAATGAAAAGAAAATCTGAAATTCATAAAAATTACAAGTTTCTGATGACAATTAGCTTAATTAAACCAGGTACAAGATTATATAATTGTATTTTCTATCCAATTATCCATATAATATCTTATCCAGAAAAAAAAACTTGATCAATACCAAATGATTTTTTAACTAGTAAATAAAGTATTTTCTTTACACACACATTGTATATCATAGTTTTTTTTGGTTTCGCAAAACATCCAAAAACAAATATGCTATAAAAGTGACAATTTTAGCAAAACGAAACCCTTATTTAAAATAATACAAATTAAATTATTAGTAAAATGTGAAGTTGATTTTTGTTAATGATATCTAATATCATGTTATCAATTAATCAATCTGCATTAGAAACAATATTAATGATAATAGAAATTAGTTTTGCAAGGATGAGAATAAACAAGAAATTAAGAAAATGTGAATGTCACTTTTTGCTTCGATCAAATAATTAAGTTTTTTGATCATTCTTATTCTATGAAGGAAAGAACTAATGAATTTTAGATTTTAAAGTGAACGGAATGAGAAGAAATTTTGTGAATTTAGTAATTTTGGAATATATAGTCAAACAAATAAAATAAAAAGCTATTGGAAGATTAATAAAATTTGAGAGGAGATAAATCGAAAAGTCATTTCAAAAAAATTATGAACTCTTTGTGAATATTTATTAACTTTTGAATATTTGAAAAGATAAATTCCGAAAAGATAAACTAGATATGATATGTTAAAGATGAATCACAAAATTGATTTTTTCAAAAAATACCTTTCAAAATAAACTATGATAAAACATTTCTATTTTAATAATTATGATTAATGATAAAACAATAAATATTGTTTAATGTCAAATTAGTTTCTTACAAAATTGAAAACACAACATACAATTTTGATGATATAGAAAAGTTTTGAATGAAAATGATGGGTTTATCTTTTACTTCATTATTTTTATTGATGTCAGAACGAAAATTCACTAAGAGCCCCTTCAGCGCGGACGAGGATCGTCTCCTTACGAGCATCGTCAACGACTGTCTCAAGCAAAGCAGGAGTATCGACTGGCGCGTTGTTAGCAGCCAGATGCTCAACAGGAATGCACGTCAGTGCAAAGACCGTTGGGAGGGATACCTTGACACCAAGATCAACCGCGAAGAATTCAGCACCGAAGAGAACTACTTCATCCTCAAGAAGGTCGAGGAAGTTGGCAAGAAGTGGAAAGTCATTTCCAGCATGATGAAGCGTCGTACTGATGTTGCAGTTAAAGCACAATATCGCAAGCTTGTTCGCCGCAACATCACTACCGACAACGTTTTCTTTGTCAACACCGAGTCCTACCAGATGAAGCAGCGCTCCCCGTCCTGCGAGCACAGCGATGTCGAACCGCAGTGCGCGCGTGCTGAAGGGGCTCTACTCGAACACTCGTCACCGGTCCAACGCGGACAGGTTCTCGACAACTTTGCCGAGAGCTCCTACCACGGTTTTCCAGGAAATTCATTTCCTAACTCTTCTACAGCAGACTCAAACTTTGAGTCACTGTTCAGTGTCGAAGACGAACTCTTCGACAACTTTGAACAAGAAATCTTTAGCTGGTTCTAAGCTACTTTAAGAGAAACCTTTATATACTAGTTCTCTTTTATTTTCTTAGATTCACAAGCTATTTATTTCTTGTGCTTAAGATATTTAATCGATTAAATATCTCTTTCTTTATACCCTAATCTTATAATTTTTTTTTCAAACTCTTTTTTAACCCTCATCAGATTTCAGTTTCTTGATATGCTAAACTTCAGAGATATAAAATGATGTTTATTCTTTTGCGGCCAAACATCATAAAATCGAACAACATTTTATATTTCTATCGAATTGTTCTCATTACATTACAGCAATCAAGTGTATTCAATCTTAGATCATTACAGGCAATAAACTCTCAAATCTCTTAATTGCTTTCGGAGATATTTCCCAACCTCATTCATCGTTCCCGATTAACAGGACTGCCGAAATGCCCATTTACCTCTATTGCATGATTTGACTATTCAATTTCTTATCGAATCGTTATATCAGCCATCAGAAATTGATTATTATATCCCCTGATATAACTGTTTATTTTTCAAGCCCTCATCTTCCCAGCTCGTATATCCCTTGTAGGTAGCTTCTAACTACCTAAATACTCTACGAATCTTTACTATTTTCAATCACTTTCATCAAATAATCGTACTAAGATTAATTCCATCGAGCATACCTATAGTTTCCTATTGTTATATCATGTTAACACCTGATATTATTAATTAAACAAATTTTCTCAAATTTGCTTTTTCTAAAATTTTCAAAATTATGTTACTCTTCTCTAAGAATCTCTAACCCCAAAAACTACTTTCATTTCCATAATTATAGATATTTAGATGGAAGAGAGCATTCATTGCATTCTTTTTAATGATTTTTTGGGATGAAATTTTGTCAAAAATAAGAATACAGTTAAAGCTAAGACAAATTCTATGACTTATTTATCAATGTTATGTTTTTGTGATACTGTCATGAAACCAAACAAAATCTTTTGGCATATAATTCAAGATTTTAAGAAAAAATAAAATAATTATATGATAAACTATCCTGTAGTTATTATTTGCCTACAATTTTCTCTATTTTATGATGTTTTTATTTCCAAAAAAAATTCAAAAATTTAAAAATGAATTTCAAAATTATGAATTTTATTGGAAATTTATGAAAATAGGAAAAATTTGGAAAAATCAAAATGACTAAAAATAAACATTACTTTAAAATTCATCAAAATTTTTAGGTAATTGCTGATTTTTCAAAAATTATAAATCTCAATTTCGATAATTTCATGTTATTGTGCCAAAGATATGTTTTATTATCTATTTACATTTCGAATAACTTAAATATTGGAATTTGATTTTTTAGCTCCCAGATATACCAAAAAAATGTTTCTGGGAATCAAGTATCAATGTTTATAACTGATGACCAAAATATTCATCAGGATTTTTTATTACCATATAAATGAAACATACAAGAATTACTGAATCGCTGATTTGCTGCTTGAAAAAGTCAATAATTTTCGAAATCAATTTCTTTATTAAATCACTTACGCAATAGAAGTACAAGATACTCATAAAACCAATATGGTATAGGGTTTCTTTCATTCATTTAATCCTATTTTAATTTTATCTCTTATTTGAGTTGATTAATCATTTAGCTTAAAAATTTATTCAAGTTACGTACCTTCAGGCATAATACAAAACAGTCGCATCAAGAAACTGACCATGTTCCGTTATTTTTTTTTAATTTCTTATTGTACTATTATAAAGCAATGAAATCATGTTCATGATTCACGCATGTTTCCTTCCCCAATATGATAATACTATTAGATAAAAAATTTCAATATTTTTCCTCATGATATTTACTCAATTCATAAATTTTATTCATCTACGTCTGAATGTAGTATATACCGTAGTTCGTAATTATTTAAAATCTAATGATAATTGTATTTTGAGCAATTCAATCAAAAAACTTGATTAAAAATTAGTTGGATAGCTTTACGTAATGCTTCTGATGAAAATATATGGAAGAATGGGTAACAAAACTTACTCGAGAAAAAATAAAAACTATTTTTATCTTCTAAAACCCATTCAAATCAGTTTAGTAATGAAGAATTCTAGTAGATTTTTGAGTTCAGAGAATGGTTTTTCTCGAGAATGAATTAGCTTGATATCAATAGAAAATATTTAAATTATCTTATAAAAAGTTTCTGAAAAGACAATTCTTTGAGTTGTTCTATAACATACTGGAACGAACTGATCAGTTATTAGGTATAATAATTTGCAGAATTATTTCCTAATCAATTTTCTAATTTTATACGGGAAGTGATGATTGACAGAATGTTCAGATTCTAATCCAACAAATTATGCTTACTTGATTTGCAGTTATACTATTGGAATTTCAACTCAAATCAGGTAAGCTTAAAAAGTGACAAAATAATTAGTCAGTCGATAGGAAACCGTCATATTTGGTATAAAAATATAAAAAAATGAGTAGACATGGACCCATGAAGCGCGTGCAATGGATAGGTGATATCACAAGAGCAGAGTTAGCCAAACATAATAAACCAGATGATTGCTGGTGCTCTTATGAAGGTGAAGTGTTTGATATGACTCAGTTTCTTGGCAGACATCCAGGTGGCAAGAAGATCATTCTTGAATGTGCTGGAAATGACATGACAGAGCTTTACAAACAACATCATGCTTATCTTTCTATTAACTTTATCAAAGGACTAAAGATCGGCAGGCTTGTTTACTAATACCATCAGCGGAAATACAATTATTTCATGAATTAGATAGAAAACTGTTTTAATTTTCTAATTCAAATTTCAAGAATAAATAAATTTTTGATTTTTTTGTGATTTTAAAAAGATCAATATTCACGCATTGCATAAAATATGAATTAACATACAATCTACCTAGTATTTTATGAATAGGGAAAAGAACAATTTTTATTTTTTTCAATATTTTTGAGGTATTTAGTTCCTTTTGAGCTAAAGTATACAAATCTTAAACCAATTCATTTTAGGAACACATAATCATTCTGCTAATTTGTGAAAATGAATTCTCAATCATTATTTAAGCTAGGCAATCGCAATTATGTGTAATCTTATTTAATAAGGATAAAATTTGATAATGGAACTTGTTGGAGCTCTTATGACAATCTAATTTTAATTTATCGAATTTAGAACGTTGGAAAGCATATAATTAATTAAGCCATTGAAAATTTTTATAGGTTACCTCCTAAATTCTCTCTCAAACTCAATAAAATAACATAAATTTCAGTACGATAAAAATTCGGCTAAGTATGTTTTCTCTTTTTGCTTTAGGATTTTATTTAAAATATAATCACCATATTAAATATCCAATAATCAAATGACCACATTATTTTTTTTTCTAAAACCGTTTTTTTGAATTCAAATTTTGTTGTTAGTGAAATCTTTCATTGCAGCATATGTATATAAATTTTGATTCAACGGGGAAATTTTATTTCAATGACTAATCGCCAACTTAGGAAAAAATCCAACGATCAAATCCAAATTCTTATTTTTAATACTCAATTATGCGATATACTGAACAACTGTATATTCAAAACTTTCAGTCTCAAATTTTCTGTTGGGTTTTCAATTTCCGGCTAGCGTAAATCTTTAAGTCTCAATTTTTTTATTATAGTTTTGAAAAGTCTTATAATCTAGTTTAGATTCATATTTTCCAACTTTGTAATTCTCAAAGGCGTCATTACTTTTGAAAGAAAAAATTTGACAGGTTTTCAAACCAATTTTTTTTAATGCTCTCTTACGATGAGTCATTCATGAAGATAAAACAATTGGACCTGGTTGAAACTATTTCATCAATGAAGTGTGGATCAGTTTATATCATCAGGTATCCAAATTGTGAAAAGAATTACGTGTTAAAATCGATTCCGATTGAAAAGTTTAAGCAAAAGGACTATGATTATATGATGGATAGTACTGATGTCAACACTACAAAAATATATGCATATGAATCATATGAATCAAATGTTTACATTTTACAGGAGTTTTGTCCAAATACAGTTGATTACATGATTAGACGCCAGAAATATCTCAACAAAGAACTTTTAGTCAAGCACTCCATTGCAATTGCCAAAGCTGTGGCTCAATTGCATCATAAGCAAAAACCACATTTGAATCTGAAGCCTTCCAACATATTAATTGATGAAGATGAAACTATTAAGCTCACAGACTTCGGATATCCAACAGATGATGAGTTTGGAACCTGCGAAAACGAATTTCTTAATTCTCTTCCATTTTTAGCCCCAGAATATACATCAATTACCAAGCAGGACCCATATAAAGCCGATATCTGGGCTTTAGGTGTCATCTTTTATATGATGTATACGGGTCGTATTCCATGGGATGGAATATCCAAAGCAACAATTGCAGAAAATGTATTGAAAGAAGAACCAAACCTTGATGCAATTGATAATAAAGAGTATGCTGACATTATAGGCAGTTGCTTACAGCTTAATCCTTCAGACAGACCAAGTATTGATGATTTACTCAATGTTCCTTTGTTTAAAGGAACATCAGCCACTTTTATAAGAAGAAAACGCAGAGATTCATTATTAATGAGTCCAATGCGCGTTCTTTCTCATACTTCTATGATTGTTCAACCAGTAACGAAGAGAAGAATGTCTTCGATGCTAGTTACCGGTATGAGTGCTATGTAATATGTAAAAATAAAATAAACATGTATTGTATGTATGATAAAAAACAATTATTTTGTAGATTTTTATCTTAACTCGAAAACTGTTCGATTTCATGTAACCGGGGTTCTTTTGTTCGTGAAGTTATTCATATTTACAGTTATTGTATCATGAATTTTGATTTTTTTTTTCGATAATGAAACAACAATGAACAAAATAAGGTAGTCACAAAATCTAAGTAGTGAGGCTCTCAAAAATTGAACCGGACTCCATACAAAATTTGTGTACCCTCACTACTTAGATTTTGTGGCCTTCAATTGAGAGGTTAGTTTTGATAGAGCACGTTATAAAATTAAAAGGGAAAAATAAATAAAATTTAAACATTTAATTATATATAATGTAAGGAGTGTAATTCCAAATTTTCTAAAAACTATTCAAATTTGAGCATTTTTTTGGAAATAGTAAATCTAATATGTACATCTAATAACAACATGATTCATCACCTTTTCAAGCTCTGCAGTCAATTTTTTGAAATTTGATTGAAATAAATGTAGCAAAAATTACATTTCATTAGGGAATATATGAGTTTCTCTAGAAACAGGCTGATAAATTTTAAATTTTGTCCAATCAACATGAATGCATTGAGAAATTTGGATTGATTTTCTGGTAGAATCTGGAACAATTCAACCATGTATAAATGGATCATGTAATCATCATGAAATGTTAGTGTTAGAGTTCAAAAGAAACAGAATGAGTGGAAATCAAACACAATCTGAATAATTTTAAACGTATACAATCTTTAAGTTTGTATTTTGAATTCTACATATATGATTGTGTAATTCGTTCTTTCAAATTTTCGGATTCAGGCATGTTTTGATAAAATTCATTCCCAAAAACGTCAATTAACAATTAAATTTAGTGTATTTTAAATATATATGCGTATTATATTTTATAAATTATATTAAATTCGCAAAATTTTAAGTTTTAAACAAAAAATAAAAAATGTTCAAAATATGAAATTATGCATAGGATATTAAAATTTACATGTTAGCAATTTTTTTGAATTGCTTTCAATTTTCATATTGAAATTTTTAAGATTTTTTTCTGAAATAATAAGCAAGAATATCAACCTAAATAATATTAAATTCCATGCGTTAATTTCCCCTCAAAAGTCATTGACCGCCTCTCAATCTAGATTTTGTGAGTACTTTATAAGAAAGAGGTAGGGCAACGATAGAAAATTTTTGGAAAAAAAGTTCGGAGATCTTAAACGTATCATATTCCCTGCATGGTTTGGTATCTTCCGCCATGCGTTGTGCCAAACATATTGACACTTTCCAATAATTAATTTATGGTATGAGTCACAGAGTTAGATTATAAAAAGAAAGTAAATAATTGCAATTAGAAATCATATATGTCGGAAATCAAATGTTGATGAGCAGAAACCTTTTACTCATCATAAAAGAGATAAATCACTAAAGATTTGTATACATTAAAATTTGATATTTGGTGCTCGAAAACTGTCTAATGGGACTCCTCCAAAATGAACCAATCTATCGCTGAGGACCAAATTAGATGATGTGGATGGTGTATTCTCTAATTCTAACTTAGGAAGAATGGGAACAAAACGAATGACGACAACAACATGTCAAACATAGATTAAATATCTATGAATCAATAAAGTATACGTGCATTGAAGGTGATAACGATCACTTGAGGCTTATAACTCTTTGACTAAATTATGCAATAATTAAATATAATCATTTTTATATTTTTATACTGATAGTAATTAATATACTATCCTGCTTAATAAATGGTATGATCAAATTTGTTTGAAAATTTAATTATGTATATGAGACTATGTCTTCTATATAAAAATCAAAATTTTCGGACGAACCTAGATTGAACCTTTATGAAAATCTATCATTTTTGTTAATTGAGTTAATATGAATCTTTTACATATGTATATATAGCATTGATAGCTTATATAATCATGGTTTATTCCATATTAACATATTTTTTCAGTTAAATTTGTTAATAATATCATGTAACAAATTAATTCAAGATTAGAATGTCTACAAAATGCTAACAAATAAGAACAAAATACGATTTCTCGACTTAAATTTTAATATGGAGTAGTTTTTCGTTTAAATCTAATTAAAAATGAATAAAAACTTATCTTGTACTATTTTCATTCAAAGATTTTAATAATGTAAATCATGCATTTTCATAATTCAGTACAGTTCTTTTTAGAATTAAAGTTGATGAGGATGATATTTGTGATTTAAAATAATTTGTTAATGTTCACCTTTTATTCATCACCTTGTGGTATGCCCTAAAGCAATAGCATTATCAATTCTGCTGAATTGATCAACTCAAAATTCCAAAAAAAATTCAAAATTTCAAAAATGAAATTAAACAATTTGAATTTTCACATGAAAAAATCAATTTCGAAAAAAATTTGGAAAATCAAAGTATTTGATAATTAGTCAAATAATCAATTTACATCGTTTTTACTCATAAATAAACAACTAATTTTTGATTTTGATATCATATTTGATAAATACTCATTCCAGAGTTGACGTAATGTATTAATTATTGTTAGAGATATTGCTTTCGCAGCAAAATTCTTATTTCATGAAAGAAAAAAAAATGATTTTATTCCAACAAAAACAAGTAAACAGATGAATGGAAACGTACTATATTTTCATAAATGTAGTAATCAGCGTGTCAGCTTTTGTTTATCATGTTCGAGTCAAAATGTATTAACTTGTAATAAGAAATATTCGAAGATTATATGAAGTATTGAGCATTCTTTGTAGAAATATTTGTAATTCATTACTAACATATATAATAAAGTTGTTTTTTTTCCTTATTGCAATAATTTTGTCTGATTTTAATAACTTTTCATGTATACGAGTTGTGTGAATATGCATCATAATATGCGTAAATATACTTATTTGCGACGAATAATGTGGTTGCATAATGGAGGTGCTAAATTTTGATTTTTAATATGGGGCTTTGGTATGTATAATCATGTTCTTATCTCAACGTAGGAGTATTGGTGCAATATGATTAAAATTTACGAGGTTGATCTTAAATTGAATAATTCTGGAGTATAAATCACAATGCAGCTAATTCTATGTTAAAGATAGATACAGATTGTAGTAATCAATTAGGGAGTACAAATTCATTCTTTCATTTCTGTCGTATTGAGCAGAAAGGAAGAGATCATAACCCTAGGAAAAAAAGCCCAAATTTGTCACTTTTCATAGTACGTTAAACTCAATTCGCTCGGCGAATGCCGAGCACACGTACTCATCATTCAACATAATATTCTCATTCTTTGGTTATTATAGTGCCAGACAACACAAGATTTCAAAGAATTACTTGAGTTTTCAATTAATCTTAATCCGATTTTAGATTTATCGAGAACTCCATCATCACAATCACATACTTCAGTGCGGTAACTACAATTATCCATATACAGAAGGAAGTTCTTTTCGAACAACTCATTTGGAGTCTGTTTTGGAAAAGAACTTCTTTCTGTCCGACTTAATTTCATAGTTCCTGATCAACCAAAAGACAGAAACCACACACTATCTACTTAGGAAAGGAGTTCTTTCTAAATCTTCTTAAATTGAGATTTTACGAGAGATAACCTTCTATTGCACTTAAAAATGAACATTTTGATATCTTTAGTATCAACATGGTCATATATAGTATTTCATCTACATGAATACATTCATCTTTCGAAGTCTCTCATTAAATGGGGGCTTCGAAAGATGAATCGTTTTATTCATAACTTTAAATCTCGAACACATTTAGAGAGTGAGTAATATCATTTTATTCTTGTTTTGAGTTTATTCTGATTCAAATTGCAGTGAAAACAGAAGTTCACACATCATATCTGAATGTGAGCTCATCTATACTTATACGATCTCAATACCTCCACTCTAAGCATAAGAGGTGAAGTTATATAAAAAATTATCAGATGCGTTGAAGTCTCAAAAGTATTGCCTGAATGCTTGTTTCATATTTGTCCAAGTAGTTTCAATGAATAAATGTATTGGTTTTTTATAATTTCGATTTATTTTTAGAAAATATTCAATATAAACCTTTATTGTGTTATTTACATCTCATAAATTCTCTGTCTAAATCATATAAAAGCGCGTTTTACCCCTATGAATCAAAAAAGAAATTCATTCAATATTCATGGTATATTTATTAAAATTTATACGATTTACTAATAATCAATATTATATCCTCATAAATAGCAATATATTTTGGTAATCTATGATAATCATATACAATATTTGAAATCAAATTTTCATTAGTTTAGGTTCCTTGTTAATAGTAAACCATTATATTTATTACTAATAATAAAATCTATGTGTCGTATTGAAATTCAATAAAATTACTTATTCGGTCCAAAAAAACAAATTAGTTAAAATTTTTCTTTTTTTATGTAATTTTTGTTTTTCATTTTTCTCAAGATCCTAAGTTATGTTCTAACTTTTGACATCATATCCTATCATGCTAGGCTATATATTATAGCATATCCAAAAGGCAAGGAAATCTATCAGAGAAGCCTTTTTGACCTATCGTTGCCCTACCTCTTATAAGAATCTAAGACTAAATAGTCTATAACATTAACAAGGTATAATCTTAGTATCAATATTTCATCTTTATTATGTTGAACCCTTGTTGTTGGAAAGATTTCATTTTAGAACCTATGTAGTTATCAGATTCTATAATTTAAATAATAGTATGCACATCATAAGATGCTGTTTTATCATGGAAATTGTTATATTTATCATTGAATTAAGTTATAGTTGATGAAAATCGAAGCAAAATATATAAAAAACATAACATATACAATTTAATAAACAGTTATATTCCGGTTCTTTGATATATGTCCGATAATACTAACATCATCGTCATCATTATAATCAGATAGAAAATTAATACCTTTTTCGAAGTCTGGATCATCTATCAAATCACCAAATAATTCAATTTTATTAAGTCCTATGGTAGACGGCTCTCCTGGATAAACATCCGTCTGAATAAGTCGGACAAATTTTGTAAGATAGCTCTTATGAAAGTCATAGGTCCTTTCAGCACAAGAAAGCATATTTTCGTCTTTTTCGACATGGTGCACAGTTGAAAAAGTTATATTATCGCTTGAAACTTGTAAAGACCAGCTATAAAGTGGACATCTAGTTCCAATAACACTTAACTCACAGGAACATCGTAGATAACAACATGCAGCTTTCAGATAATATCCTCTAAGATTTATTTTCTTATTTCTAATTGCAAAAGTGATCCAGGCTTTCTCTTCTTTAATGTTGCTGCATTTAGAACACCAATTATATTTCTTGTCCATTTGATCTATTATGAATTCAGGTTTAGTCATCTGGATTGATCCGTTTATATATTGTTGTGAATTACCATTTGCACTTACAATAACAGTATTTTCGTGGTAAACTCGTTTGAAAATGCTATCATGAGTATATAAGAATTTCCGAAAAAGTGACACCTTCAATAGGGAGTAACACTTAAAAAGTGACAATTTAAAATTCACAATAAATAAAAATAATAAATTTTTTAGTCTATTAAATTATTCTTTTCTTTGAAATCCTCTAAAAATTCTTCGAAATGTTCTAAAATATAATCTGGAGAATTATAACAAAATTCATTAATTTCTAACATATACGTATCTAACAATTCATTTGGAATTTCAAACGATCTTAAATATGTAATTGAATTTTGTATCTTCTCATTTATTTGAGAAAGTTTTTCTTCAGCATTTTCCAATAAAAATCTTAATGGATTCAAATTGGCTTCTTGATTCTGAACAAAATTTAATACTTGGTATAAACGTGATTGAACTTCTCTTTTCAATTTTGTTTTATAATCTGTCAATCGAGGCTCGCGAATTCTAATTGAAGGAATAAAACCTGTTTGAAGTAAATCGTTTTTAATACGATAAAAGTAATTGGGTGCAACTTCTTCTAAAAGATTTTTGACAAAAACATCAATTCTTTGATTTTTAACGCAGCCAAAATCGTGATATTTTATCTTTTTAAATAAAGATTCAGAAACGTTATTCACAACGGTTAATTCATTTGGTCTGGCAGCGGCTATCCACATCATAGCCAACAATTCCTTATACAAAATTCAAAAACTTGGGTGCAATCAGTTCTGATTGCACCCAAGTTTTTGAACTTTCTTGAGGGAATTAAAGGGTGAGAGATTTATAGTCTATCTATATATCTCCCACCCTCTAATTCCCTCCCTGACAGCGGGAAATTTTGTCTGAATGTTAAACTATTCAGACAAAGTTTCCCACTGTTTGCGAAGGAATTGTTGGCTATGATGTACTGATTCATGATCAGTACATCATAGCCAACAATTCCTTATATAAAGTTCAAAAACTTGGGTGCAATCAGAACTGATTGCACCCAAGTTTTTGAACTTTCTTGAGGGAATGGAAGAGTAAGAGGTATACATTATGAATATATACCTCTTACCCTTCCATTCCTCTCTGACAGCGGGAAACTTTGTCTGAATGTTAAACTATTCAGACAAAGTTTCCCGCTGTCAGCGAAAGAATTGTTCCATCTGGTGCATAGAGTGTGAATCTATGCACCAAATGGAGCAAGTCCCTCGCGAAATTGCCCAAACTTGCGTCGCATTTCAAAGATTGCGACCCAAATTTTGGCGATTTCTAGTAGAGATGGAGTATTTTGAGTCACTGACCTATATGCAGTGGCTCAAAGGGCTCCATCTCTACTTTGAAGCAAGGAAACTTTCCTCGAAATTTTGATAATTTGAAGAAAGTTTTCAAGCAATTAACAAAGGATTACTCGCTATGAGGTAAAAATTCTAGATTTTCACCTCATAGCGAGAGCTTCCCTTTCATTGCTTGAAAACTTTCCCCAGCTTCAAAATTGGGGAAAGGGCTGTAAAGTCGACTCCGATACCAGCAGGTACCAGAGTATTTAAAAGAGAAGCCTCGTACGAGTTTCTATGAAGACCTTCTCATTCAAAGAAATCTTAATAGAAAATCGTACGAGGGCATTGGAAACTCGCGTCTGGTACATGTTGGTACCAGAGTGTTTGAGATTTGAAGACTCTGGTACTAAGATGTACCAGAATTTATGATGAATTTAAGATGGACCATTATAAAATGGTAGCGGTTTGTTTCAAAAAATTTTAGATGAGATTTGCATAGATATAGATTATATGATTTATACATATGAAAAATAATATATAAAAATATAATTTTGAGATAATTATGTAAATAATATTTTAAATATTTGAATTTGAGGTATAATTTTATAGTAAAATATATTATAAAGAGTATTTATATAAATATTGTAAAATAATATAAGTAATAAAAATTGAGACCCCCTCCCTGTTTTTGATGTTTTGTCACTTTTTCGGTAATTCTTATTGTTTCCGTTTATATATTGTTGTGAATTACCATTTGCACTTACAATAACAGTATTTTCGTGGTAAACTCGTTTGAAAATGCTATCATCTTCTAATAAAAATAAGAGAAAATTTCTAAGCATATGTAGGTGCTGTCACTTTTAGTTGTCAGATTCAGGAAATATGGTTTCTAGCAGATCATTTCAAGAAAAATTTTGATATCTATTGCAAGCATGTTGAGTTATCAAAAGTAATTCCGAAAGAAATAGAATCGATCCAAATTAATAATTTGAGTTTCAATTTAGATGAAAAAAAGGCGCAAATCTTCTTCATTGATTATCAACATGATCCAGTAAATAATGATCAGATATTAAGTTTTCAATTTGAATGGCAGATACCGTGCAATAGAATTTTTGTAACTCGAGAAAAAACGGTTATCTGACCTGCCAGGCTCACAAAACATAAAATACATATTTATTAACAACTTTTAAAGAAGTAATTTTAGTGCAAATTAAAAATCAATAAATTCAATAATTCAGATTTGTCAATTTTTCTGATCAACTGATCCGATAAGTATTGAAAATATTTGAAAGAAATTTATAAAATATCTACATATCAATAATAGGCCCCATTTTGATATGGCTCTTAATATCTTACATAATGAGATATATCTTTGATGTGATAATTCTTATATTTTAATTTGGTCAATTTTTTTTTAAAAATCGTGACTTGAAAGTTAATAATAAGAAATACATCTGAAATAAAAGAAAGATATTCCTAAAATATACAATTTTCCTATGCAAAAATGCGATTTTAATTGAGTTTTAAGGAGATATAAGTTGAAGAATTTCATGATGTGGGTTAATTATAAAAAATTAAGAAAATGAAGTTAACATCGGTATTGGGTAATGGAATAAAATTATTACAAATAAAATTTTTGATGTAATTTTGAATTACGAAGATAATTTCGAAAATTGAAGAGAGATCGAATTAGCACCATACGAATTTAAAAATCTATGCAGAATTTGTTTTCAGACATATCAACGATGTTGAAAATAATTTGGTGAATTTTATTTTATAAGCGTTGTTTAATTCAGATTTCAGAATAGACAATATATTCTTGATTATCTATTTCGGATTTTTAAAAATTTCAAAATGTTTATTTTTTGATTTTTGAAAGTAATATTGTTTTATTCTTTGAAACAGATACTCTTTGGCAGATGTTGGGAATTTTCATTGTGGTTGTTAGGTGTCAAATCCTAACTTTTGTGTAAGAGAATTTACCCATGTAAATAAAAATAGCAGAAATCTAAAAGTTTTTACAATATCTAAATTATCTGAGATATTTTATCATTGAATAAATTGAATTTTTATCAAAATTGAAATAACAGAAAACATATTCAGATTTATTTTATATATTGATATACATGCTGAATTTAATATAATTAATCGAACTTTTGGAACATATCCTCAAGCTGAACAAAAACGCCATAATTTAATGTGAATGATATAATATAATTAGAAATAGATGTCAAAAACATATTTCAAATATTGAATATCCGATTACTTTTTTTGAGAACATTGTATTAATTCAATTTTCTTAACATAATGATCTGCCGCTAACGTCCTTCTCAAATCAGCGGCTCATCTTTCTTATTGAATTGGTCTGCACTCAAAGAAAATTTTCAGGACAGAATATCAGATTTTCTAAGGGGAATAAAGAAAAGAAAAAATCTAATAAAATCTCTAAGATAAAGTTTTAGTTCTAAAATAATATCTACTATTAAAAGACACAAAATATACTTAAACGAATTCATTGAACAATAAATCGCAAAATGAATCTTCAAGAGCAAAAAATGGATTATTATGAGAATCTGATTCGTAGGGATTTTCTATATCTTCCGAAGATATATTGGGTGCTTCTGTGGATTTTTCAGTTTTGCTAGATTCAATTCCAAATTTCTGAGAGGTTATCGATTTTGTAATTTAATCGTCGTCGTTATCGATTTTGTAATTTAATCGTTATCGTCTTTTTCTAAACGTGCATTTTTACATTAAAAGCAATGCAACTCCAAAATTAATTGGTATTTAGACTTTAATTAGGTGCAGACAAACGAAATGCAGTCCAAATATTTTGGTGATATATGAATTACATAAATTTAGGGAAATTGAAATTATATCTTTTTAAATTTTTAGGAAAACAGATTTATAGAATTGTTTAAGTCATCAAAATAATGCAGACTTAGGTCAAATTTTCCAAATTTAATCATTTGCAAGACTTTCAAGCGACTTCAAAATGTCGAAATATAAGTCCAAAAATAAAATTACGATTACAGTCTATCCTCAATTATTATCACGCTAATTATTGAGTGACCCATGCGTTCGTATGTATGTAATACCTTTTAAAAAGGAGATGAGAGAGATAAACTACATTTACAATTTAAATCTGATGTATTTACTTGTTACATTTACAAATGTAAATGTTTCTCGTAATGTTTACATTTTGTAAGTATAACGAATAAAAATGACGCACTTTTTTTACAAAGTCAAATTATGCGATACAACTTTACTTGTTACATTTACAAATGTAAATGTTTCTCGTAATGTTTACATTTTGTAAGTATAACGAATAAAAATGACGCACTTTTTTTACAAAGTCAAATTATTGTTCGATTTTTGCAGCTTGTAAACGATTAATTGTATAAAGCAATTGATATTAGCACGACATAACTGAATAATTCTAATATTGAAATCAAAAGCCCTTAAAATATCATGATATTTTAATTTCATAACAAATCTAGGAGACTATTTGATGAAAACATATCCGATGTGGGTTTTGTTGTATTATATAACTTGTTATTGACTTCTTAGCTTTCCAAATTTTTTTCGATAATGAGAAAACGAATGAAAAATCAACATTTGGTCCATTTAAGGGTGCACACGAGAGGATCATGTAAACTTCAGAATTTAGAACCTTATTTTTAGGCATTATCTTGGCTACCTATTTAGGCTCGAAAAGCAAAAAATATCAAAAAATACAACTTGAGTCCATTATGACCCCTTCATGGAGGTAGTTTTTATCCGCTAGTATTTTCCCTTTGAATCTCTTTACAATTCGAAATCAAATTCAAAACTCAGTAGAAGAAAGGAAGAATCGACTTACTACGGTTGTAATACGAATAAATACATATATTTAATTATTTTTATTTACATAATAATTGTTTGAAGCTCATATTCCATCAAATTTTTAAATAAAAACATTAAAATGTTGAAAATGTTCATATATTTTAATAGGTTTTTGGCACTTTATTGAGGAATTACTACATACATAGTCGAACTGAACTTGATATTTTGAAATTTAAATTATTTATCAAATTAAAATTTAACTTGAAATTATAATTATTTAGTCATATTTTGCATAATTCTAAGTAGATTTTGTAAAAAATCAAGAAAGAAAAATTTTAACGTGCTTTATTTTTTCTTTTTATAATAATACATATTATTATATAATTAACATATTCATAATGTTTCACCCTTTCAAAAATATAATCCTCCTCCTCGCAAATAAACGTACATACGGGTGGCCTCTTTTTTCAAAAAATTAAAATTTGAAATTTTGGGCTCAAATATTAGAGATTTTTCAAACCTTCAACGATATATGTTGTCTATATCAGACCTCCTTTCTTTTTGATACTTAACATTGTTCCTAAATCTTAGCCGTTAAGGCTGTTCTGAAAATATTTTTTTTTCGAAAAAATTCGAAAAAAATTCTTAAAATTCAAAAATCCATTAATTCCTGAGGATTTTGGAAAAAAGTTTTTACATGAACATGTGTATATTATATGAAGTATATTGATAAGGTAAAAATCAAATTTTATTGCATATTCATCGAGAAAATAAACTAACGAATCCCTCAAAATTGAGAGGGTAATCCTCCTCCTCTCAAATAAACGTACATACGGGTGCACCCTTAAATTAATAAAATCCCGGTGAAAAAAATAAAAACAGCTTCTAAAAGTATAGTTATCTTAAAATACGAACTTTAACACAAGTTTTTTGATCCAATAGAAAATTGAATTCTTTGAATAAATAAAATATTTTATGTATTAACATATTAAATTTCCTAATTATTTTTTCTTCTTGGGAAAATTTTTGAATTCGAATAGAAAATTCAATAAATTGAAATTGGGTTGAAAGAATTCTCCATATTAACTTGTCATATATTTTAGATCATATAAATTAAGTTAATTAAATTTTTTAAAAACCTTAATAGGATAAAAAAAAAGAATTTACACTCTCTCACTTTGAAAACGTAGAAAATGCCAATCTATTGGTATACATTTTAGTTTTGTTAAGTTTACAAAACGATTACTCTAGATTTTAAAGATTTATCAAGAATTTAGAGAATATCCTTCTCAAAACAACTTCAATAGCGAAGGATTAGTATTGAATCGGATTTGTAACATAATTATAGTACATTACAATACAATTTCTCCGACTTTTAAGTATTTTTGAAATATTTACAAAATATGCTCTTTCTATCATCGATACTTTAATACAGAGCAAATTTAGTAAATGTCATCACGTTATTTTTTCATAAATCGTTTTCGAACTTTTGAAATATTTATTTTAAACCAGTTTTCTACATTTAATACGTGAATTATATCAAAAGTAGATGGGCGATACTTGTAAATCTATTTAAACTATTAGTTTGCTATTATTGAAGAACTTTATAATTTTTTTTTCTTATGTATGGAATTAAAGATAATTTTGCCGATTCCAACTGGTTTTTCTATATGAGTTAAATATGCCAAGTGAAATTGGACTTGCCAATATTGTAAATTGAAGTATGGACTATATATCGATTTTCATTGATTGATGAATAACTCGGAGTAATGTAATTGTTGATAATGAAAAATAGTTTTCAATTGCTGGTAAGGGCCAATGTATGTTCAATAGCTCCGAAAGCAAAAAATGCACGTTTAGAAAAAGACGATAACGATTAAATTACAAAATCGATAACGACGACGATTAAATTACAAAATCAATTATGACCCCAAATTTCTTTCTTAGGCTTCTCCAGTGATTTTCCACAGAGATATCGGTTCTTCCATTAAGATATGCTGAGATCTTTTTCCAATGATTTCCATATTTTTGCTGCAAAGAGTAAATTAAGTCGTCTTCTTCTTTGCTAAAAGGAGCATTGTTAATATTGGGATCTAAAAACGCTAACCATCTTTCACGACATTGCTTTCCGGTTCTTCCTTCAATTTTGGGAGCGATCTTATCCCACTTGGAGGGCCCACAAATTCTAACAGCTTCTTTCAAGATTCTGTCTTCTTCATGTGTCCACTTGGACTTCTTTTTATTAGTCTTGACAATTTCTTGAGGACTGGTTTCTTCTACTTGCATTGTATAATCTGAAAAAACAATATTTTGAATGTCGAGAACTTTACAACAGGTAGCAACCGCCAATATAGTCTCAATATTATAAAAAGGATTTTTCACATAAGTTATTGCTGCTATTATGAAAATAAAATACTAATATGGCAGTTTGATCAATACTTAAAAATTGAATTAATTCGAAATTCAATGTAATTATCATAAATTTTTGACAATTCGGATTGGATTATATATAATATATATTATATATCCAGATTTTTTCTATGAACCGCTTCTGACAGTTTATATTATAAATTTTATATCCAATAGATTTTGGATTTACATCATACCACAAAATCTTATATTCAAATATTTCAAAGCGTTATAGTTCGGATCTTTGAAGTGTCAGATTTAATTCAAAATACAACAGGTAATACTTTTCATTGAAAATTCAATATTTATTAGAAGTAACTTTTATCACCCTAACCTTTCATTCTATGTTTTGATTTAATCGATTTTTTTTTCAAGAAAAAACCTTACATTGAACAATCATCTATGAATGCATACTCGTTTCATGATATTAAAAAAAAGCTTATGATCTTAGAAAATATTTTTCTCTCAACCATCTTTAACTCAAAATGAATATAATAGGATTTCTGAAGATGCCTAAACTTAAAATGGCATAATGCAAAGGTAATATACGAAAAATGATAGATTAATTTTGATGCATATCGATAACTTGTAAAAAATTTCGATTTTTTAACTAGTTCTTATTGTTTGCCAATGAAATGCAAATTAAGAAATAATTGTCTACCAAATGTTCTTAAATGAGTGTTATGAATATAGCCATTTGAAAAAGCAGAAAAATCATTGAGATTATGTGGAATAAATATTTTTGAAATCGTTACATATAATTTATATTAAATTCTACATAAATAATAAATAACCTGGAAAACGAAAGTTACTAAGTTAAAAAAAAACAATGGTTTCATTTCAAATATGGAAAACGAAAATTGTTTATGATTAGAGGAGAAAAGGGAACAATTTAAAGTTTCACATATATATTTTTAGGCAAGTTTTATTCAGTTCTTCAATTAAAACAATTTTCATCAGAACTTAAGATTATATTTCTAATTATTAATTTATTTTTCGTCACATAAATGTGAAGCCATGTGGCAAAATGGATACTGCGTCTCCCTTCTAAGGAGAAGACTGTGGGTTCAAGTCCCACCATGGCTGCTTTTTTTAATTTTATTTTTCGGATTGAATTTTTTTAGATCTGCATGACACATCATATAATACTCATTTTCCTTCTTTAATGTATTTCTATTTTAAGACTAATATCAATAAATCGAAAAATAAATTTTTGAAGAACAATTTCTCCGGTAATTAAAAAATATAGCAAGAAAACTACTCATAATAATAACCAAACAATATCAGATGCATAATTCCCTCGCCGTTCCTCCTTCGGTCTTATTAATTAAAATACTTTTAATATAACTATAATTGAGACTAGATTCATAATTAGGATTCAAATCATACACTTTCTTTAATATACAGTTTTCATACATGAATTCATGCATGTTATTTTTGAAGATTTCTTAAAAAAATAAATAATTTTTTCTATAAAAAACTACAACATACAATTTAATAAACACTAGAATTAGATGTGCGCTTAATCTTAAACGGCACAAGTATAACAGGTTGCTTTGAAAGGATTGAGAAGTGTCTTTGGCGAAAATGACCAGCCGTAACAGAAAGTTGCGAATTGGGTTTCACCAAACATGTACTCTTAAGCTGCTGGGATGAGGGTATCTCTGTAGGTTCTATTTTCAAACAATTTTCAATAAAAGTCCATAAATCTTCAGGAATATCATTAATCATTTGTGGGCCGAATTCTATTTCTCGTAATATTGCATTTAAGTTCTTCCCTTTGAATGGAATCTTTGAACTTGCAAGATAATAAATTGTTACACCGAGAACCCATATATCAGATTTAAATGGATCATTGGACTTATTTAATAATATTTCTGGTGACATAAAACAAAGAGAACCGCCGCATGGACCGACAGTACTTTTGTTTTTGAAATCATCGATATGGGAAAGTCCAAAGTCAGCTAATTTAACTCTTCCGAATTCATCAATAAGAATATTTGATGGTTTGATCTCGCAGTGTGCATAACCTAAATTATGCATGTAGGAAAGAGCATCTACGATTTGGTTAGCGTATTGCTTGCATTTTTCGTAATTGACTCCATTCGGATACTTTTCAATAAAATCCTGGAGGCTTCCGCCATTGCAGTACTCTAATATGATAAATAAGAAATTATTTGAATTGAAAACATCGTACACGCAAACAATATTAGGGTGGTTGAATTTAGTTAAAGCCTCAACCTCCCTCTTATATGACATAAGGAAGGATTTATCGTAATCATCGTCCGGAACAACTTTGCAAACGAAGTTCATGTTATATTTAAGAGATCTAACTAAGTAACAGCAACCAAATCCGCCTTTGTTAATATATCCTAGGAAATTATAATCTCTATGGTTAAGTATGTCTAATATGATTTCGCTCATTTTACTATATTGATTAAATTCAATAGGTGCTTGTCAAAAGTTAACAAAATTTTCGATGAGATTTTGAAAAATTTATTGTGCTCTGAAAAATTGAATATGCTATTTATTAAAACTTTGTAATTTTCATTAGCATACCAAGGAATATATTTTATATAATTGGCTAACGTGCTGATTGAATTTAAAATTTTTGAAATTAGGCTATAATTTCATATTATACATATGTGAAAAATATTTTAAAAATTTTTCGCTATCAAAAATTGAATATAGTGAATCATTTTATATTATTCACTAATATTAATGTTAATAATCAACAATCATAAAATTTGAAAATTGAATAATTATGAATTGAATACTTCCAAAGATTCAATATAAGTTCAATATGTATTTATTTATAGCTATGTGCAATTTTCAATTAAATTAATCCAACGACGATTTAATTTAAAAGTGGCTTTAATTGATTGTGAATATTTGTCAAATTTATTTGGGATAAATTTAGATTAAATACTAATTAACATGCAATATCCTGCATTTGTGTTATGACGTAAAAATTTGAGACTAAACTTATGTAAAATTTCATTCAATTTATAAAATCAATTCCCTTGATGAATCAATCGTAAAATTTATTTGTTTTATCCTGACCAAAAATAACATGTCAAACTCAATTTATGAATTTGAATATCGATAATCCAAAGCATAACTATCAAAAGCTTCAAAATAAATTTTACGTCTCAAGTAAGGATGTCAATTCGGAAAATTGTTTTCATTTTAGGAGAATATAATTTTCCATTTGGAAAATTTAAAAAGTGAGACGCGCAGGATTCGAACTTTTTTTAAAAGTTGATTTAAATATATTCTAGTGTGGATTCTAAGGATAATATCATATTTAAAATAAGAATATACTAGTTTAGGTGGTATAATTTTTTTCGATAAATTTGAGAGTGTGTACGTTTAGGGCATCAAAAGTGTCAATTCGCTCAGCGAAAGCTGAGCTAGCTTCGTTCTCGAAAGAATAGGGAAGGAGTGAAAGAGAGTGATACAGATGTTGACACATTCATATCATTTCAACAAATTTTGATCAAATTGAAATTCAATGAAATTCAATTCACTTCATATCCTTCAATCAGTACATTGACATCCTTCTACATCACAATGATAACTCGTGCATCAATAGTTCTACAACTAACTCAGAAAAAACAAGATTTTTACTTCCAGCTTACAGCTTTTAAAAAGTTTCGATGATAAAAATCACTCTACTCTTGTTTATCGATATGTTGTGATAGTAGGTAAACGTATTCTTATCGATATTAATAAAAATATTTTTACGAAAAATCTGAACCAATTACAGAGTTATTCATAAAGTTTATGATAACTGTAATTACTTTATCTTTGTTTAATATTTGAATAAACAATTTAATTTAATTTGCATAATTTTTTTTAGTTGAAAGACAGGAAACTTAGTTGAGTTTGTATTATTTTTATCGTTCAATTCATTGTATCAGTGAGTGATCCAGATATTTAAGATATTTACAAAAAATTTATTAATTTGATGAACAAATTTTAATCAAAATAGCAAAAATCTATTTGATAGCTGTAAGCAAACAATAATTTTTATTTCAAGCAAAATCAATTATTTTCATCTAAACGTATAAAATTGTCAATTTTATGAGAATAAATTTAAAATCTCATGAAATATAAAGGAGAGTAATATTTTTCAATTTTCTTTTTTTCTTTGTCTCAAATATTTTCTGTTGGGAATTTTCTTGTTATCAAAAAATAATTTTAAGATTTGTTTATTTCATTACATACAATAAAATTTTAAAAACTCTATTTGTTCACAAGAAAATTTTTTCCCTTCATATGAAGAAACATTTTGTTCTCCATTTGATGCTGAGTCTAAATCTCGATTTTTGATTTTTCTTCTTTCCAAATTTCTTTTTTCCAAATTAGAAGTTTAATTCAAATTTTCAATAGTTTATATATTTTCTCAAACCGTCTTAGATTTTCTCACTTTTTAGGGATTTTCTCTCAAAATATACAAAAATAGTAATATCAATACATGTGTCTAATATACTTTAAAACCATCGTGATAAAATTCCAAAATGAAGAGTTCTTCTCTCCAAATTTTTTTCAAAATCAAAAAATGAGATAAAAAAATACGTTTGGAAAATTCATTTTTAGCATTTTAGGAATTTTCTCACTTTTCTTCCAAATTGACATCCTTATCTCAAGTTTATATCATTCAACTTGTTATTTGTTTCCAATTATTTTTTATAAATTGACAATCAGATTTTCGAAAATTTATCCTATAACTCTATTTCTCTTCTGGTTTCTTATTTTAACACCATAAGATTGCAGGAATTCTATAATTCTTTTAAATTATGATCAAAATAATCATATGATTTCCATTTTAAGTTTTCATAGAATATCCTTTCGTTGACGATATTGCCAATATTACACCGAATAATAATTATAACTTTTATGAGCTTTTCACCCATAATTGATTTTCTCGATTTGGGAAAATTTGTTCTCATTGAAATGATATTGAAAATTCTGAATACTTTGATCTCAAGCGCCAATTGTCCTTCAATTTATCTTTTCCAGATTTCGATTTTTATTTTTCAATATTTCCCTAGCGATCAATAATCCAAAAGCAGCAATAACGAAACCCAAAATATCAGAAAGCAAAGGGAGGGTTTGTCGATTTGCTCTCATTTACATATAATTCGATATTATAAAAGGTGACCAAACTATTTTTTGAAAGTCCGCCATAACTTTAATGGTACTATTTCAGCGTGTACAATGAATACAAAAATTCTAAGAGTGCCACATAAAATAGTACTTTAGACTTGAGTTAATGCTACCAAGCAAATGTTAAAAAGATGACTTTAGTGTTTTGATAATCAAAGATTAAAATCATTATTGTCTAAATCAATAATCATAACGACAGAAGTTAATGTTTTTTCATAAGTGCTTTAAATCCACTTTTAAAAGTATACCTCAAAAATCAAAATATCAAAAAAAAATTGGCCGATAGGTTTGGCTTTAATTTTTGTCTGCTTTTATGATTTGATATGGATGTTATAATTTTAAAAGTTGAGCCAAATTCACCAATAGATTTTTGAGATTTGCAAATACTCAATAATTTTCAGCGTGTTATCTTTTATTAAAAGAACTATTTGGTTTCAGTATCATATAAATTGATATTTACTTTCTATTTGAACCTTCATTTAGCTAATGATTTAATAATACAGATTTCATCTAGTCCTTATAAGAGAATTTTGAATTTGTTATAATAAAAAAACAAACAGATATAGCTTACACTTCTATAATAAAGATACCTTTTATAGAAATCAGTATGAAATGTGTTTTGGCTTATTGGAAGCATATCAGACATAATCGCCATAATCAAAAAATCTATATACCCAATAAGTAATAAATTTGTCGATATAGATTTTCCATAAAATTAGTTTTTAGTCTGATCTTAAAATAAATTTAATTTTTTATAAAAAAAATCACATTTAAAAGTACCTTTTTAGTAGCTCGAAATCCTGTTGGTGGATTTCGGGCGTACTTCAAAATTAGCTTTTCTTCTACATATGCAAGCTATATTTTAAATATGGAGCAAATCGGATCGGCGAAAGGAGTTTAGTTACCTTTATATTATATCACGATTTATCTTATTCGCCATGTTTTCATAGCATCTTACAAATGTGCTTTTTCAATTTACCATATTATCCATCTTAAGTCGATCAAGAAAATCAATAAAAAGACGATAACATCCATTTCACTTCACATTTTATTTTTTTGTGATGAGTTATCCAGAAAGTACTCGAAAAATCACCAAGGAAGTCATGTTAGCCGAACCACATGTTCTCTGGGAGATAGGAAAAGTTGCTGAAGTTGAATATTTCCCAGATGAATTCGATAAATTAGTTTTAGAAAGTATTGACCATCCAGGATTCGAGAAAGCACTTGAATGGCTTGATGACGGCACTGATAGGATTGCAATCGACCTTGAATGGAAGCCTAACTTCGATAAAACTCGTGGTGAATATCCAGCATCAGTATTTCAGATGGCAACACCACATAAAATCGTTGTTTTGAGGCATCCAGCCGATCTCCCTGGCAATGAAATCCTCAAAAAGTTCTTGATGACACATAAATTCATTGCTAAAGGCTGCAAGACAGATCGTACAAAGATGCAACAGAAATTTGGACCAGATTTCAGTATTGATTTACTTGATTTCGAAAGATTATACCTTATTCCTAATGGATTTTCATCCAACTTCGATGCTATGGTTGTAGAATTCTATAAGAATTCAAGTATTGAATTCAAAGATAAAAACGTCACATGCTCCAACTGGCAAGCTGATGTTCTTACTACACAGCAGGTTTTATATGCTGGTTTCGATGCAACAGCGCTTATGAAATCTTATATCAACGCTGTTAAGAGATATCCTAACGCCATTGAAGATTTCTTGAATAGATCTAAGACAAAGGCCGATAATCAATCCAAGGAAGCGAAGAACTTAAGAAATAAGAAGCATAAATCCGAATTATACGAACACTTCAGAGGATACTTGAATGAAATGATGCCTCTTAATGCAGGTAAGGCATACTGGCTATCTAGAAACTTCTGGCCTCTTTTCAACAAGAAAGAGAAGGAACATCCAGAAAATATCCTTCCAAACTCCGCAGAATTCGGTTTGACAACAATGAGAGGTCCTGTTTTCGAATTACTTTGCCAGATAAAGGGAGTTGATATGTCTTCAATGGATTTCGCTCAGAAATTAAAATTCTGGGATCAAAACGCTTCAAAGAGAGAATTAATGATGAGCCAAATGCTCGACACATACAGAGTTCTCGGTGTCGGCCCTTACGAAGCAATGCAAGGCGTTCAAGACACTCTCGAGATTATGAAGGAGAATAAGATTCCTCTTCCATTCGATCTCGTTTGAGAAAATATCTATTTTATTAAATAATTCCTAGTTTATTTATATTTCATTGAATTTACTCAAAATTCTTTGAAAATTTTGCCTTTTTTAAGTATATAAGCGTCGTAAGCATCATAACGAATAATAGTAAATGTTAAATAATTTAGTGAAATAAAAATGATTTATAATAACTTTCTTTCTAATAATACATTTTAAATTAGAAAATTGGGCCATGAAACTTGGAATACCAAATTAATTGAGAGAGGATATCAGTATATCTCACTTAAGAACTCGTCAATTCTATATAATGGGAGATATACTGAACCATGTTTTCTTCATATTGACCAATTAAATGAATATAGTTTCCTACACATTATTTAAACTTTAAAGATGAGCATGAAATAAAAACATTATATCCAAAAATCAAAAAAGTTTGCAATGTTAATTAATTTTATCTCATGAAATTTTTATCAGGCATATGAGATCGCATCATTTAAAACCAAAGTTTATTGAATTGTGCGCTTTCCCCAAGAAATCCAAACTATATACATTTATTCATACATGATCATGATTTTATACTCCGATAGAAATCAAAAATTCACTGATATCACCACTTGCAAGTGAAAGTGCAGTTTTTCCATCATTAGTCTTTGCATCTTTATCAGCTCCAACAGAGATAAGATATTGAACAACTTCAAGATGACCATATTTTGATGCTTTAATGAGTGGAGTATATCTATAATCATCCTTTGCTTCTTTATCAGCACCAACAGAGATAAGATATTGAACAACTTCAAGATGACCTTCTTCTGATGCACAAAGGAGCGGAGTCCATCCATCATCGTCTTTTGCTTCTTTATCAGCACCAACAGAGATAAGATATTTAACAACTTCAAGATGTCCATATTCTGATGCACAAATGAGTGGAGTTTCTTCTTCATTATTCTTTACTTCTTTATCAGCTCCAACAGAGATAAGATATTTAACAACTTCGAGGTGTCCATAACTTGATGCGCAGATGAGTGGAGTATTTCCATCTTTATTCTTTGTTTTTTTATCAGCTCCAACAGAAATAAGATATTTCACAACTTCAAGATGGCCTTCTATTGATGCATAAATGAGTGGAGAACATTCATGATCATCTTCTATATCTTCATCGCATCCATTTTCTATGAGTGATTTAACAAGGTTGAGATTTCTTTTTTTGCATGCAATATGAAGTATATTTCTTTGATTACCAAGTACTGAATTTTTAAAAGGAACTATTTCCCAAAGACCTTCTTCACAAGCTTTTGAAATCATTCTTTGATTTCCTTGAGATGAAAGCTCATCAAAGAAATTGTAAATGCATTTAATATCATCAGAATTCATAAGTTCTCGTATTTTTGACAGAATTTCTGTTTCATTGTTTTCTTTAATTGATTTTGGTTTCGAATTTGGGAGTTGCTCCTCCGAAGAAGGTAATCTTTTTCCCAATTGTATTAAAAGGTCAATAGCTCCATCAAGTATTTTCAGTTTCATGAATTCTCTGACTGATTTAAGAAGTGTAATGACTTCTCCAAGGTTTCGTGTTATAATATTTGCATTTCGTGTGGAAAAATATAGTTTATTTGCATTGACTGTAGAATGCGCTTGTTTCAGAATATTAATGAAGTCATTAGTTGATAAATTTGCGAAACTCATGATTTGATTGATGTCGTCGATTTCGAATGTAGTAAATAACTTATTGTCGTCAATGTAATCCTCGAGGTGAGACCCAATGTATTCAAAATTAAGTTGAATCCCTTTGCTCATTATAAAAATTTAATTTGTCGTAACTTTACAAAAGTCAAAATTTTTGAATCTGATAATTTTTTTTTAATATTTTAACCTGTATCATTCTTTTACTATATATTCTTGATTGCATTCAACAAAGTAGAATTTGGGACTTTAATTATCAAAATTCTTATTCACATTGTTGGCTTTTGTCTCGGAAGAAAGATACATATAGTGCTTTTGGGGGGTGAAAAAGAAGTCCTATACAAATTTCGATTCAAACACATTAAAATGTTATGATTTTTTCTTATTCATAACATTGCAATACCTAAAGATATCCATTCATATTTTATTATAATCCTTTAAGGCATACAAAAAAGTCTTTTAAGACTATGATATAAAATATAGAGATTTTTTTTTGATTGATTGAAAAATCAGCGAATCCTTCATATCAGACTTAAAACTTACTAATATTTGCTATCAAATATGTTCTAATCATTTAATAGTATGCATCTCCTTTTCCAATTCAAGATGTACAGGTATTTTTGGTTGAAAAAAAGTAAAAATTACATTATGGTAAAATATCCTACATCAGAAAAGTGACAAAGGATTTCGGAATCATAAAGGATAAGCAAAAATTATTCCAAACTCAGAAATGAGCATTAAGCAACAAAAAAAGTTATAATTAAATAGCAAGGGTACATGACTGAGAAAATTTTCAAAATTTCAATTTTTTTGATTCAAAAAGACAGATTCATGTGTAAGTACAGTCTAACCTTTACTGTTGAGAAAGAAAAATTGCTTGAAATTGATAATAATAAATTAACTTATCGATTTTTACTTTTGCTATTTATAAATTTACTGTGTAGCTTCATTAACAGGCTCCTTTGGTTGTTCTTCCTTTGGCTGCTCCTCTTTTGGTGGTTCCTCTGCAGCTGGTTTTTCAGAAGTCATTTTATTTTTAACTTCGTGGTATTTCTCGGAGGTCTTATTGGCAACAGCAGTTGCAGTCTCTGAAATCTTTGCAGAGGCTGTATGGATTCCTGCCTCAACCTTTGTTGTAACTGGTTGAATTGCTTTATTAATCTTGTTACCAGCAATAGATAATGTTTGGCTAAGAGAATCTAAGAATCCTGTTGGTTTTTCACCAGGAAGCTGAACTAATGGTTGTCCAGCTTGATAAATTCTAGTATCTTCATTTGAAACGTAAATTGGAAGATACATAAGTTGATACCTGATTGCTCCATTCATTTCTGTCATTGGATAAACAGCCATAGCTTGTGGAGCTCCTTCTTGATGTGCAGGTTCTGCAGACATTTTTATGATAAAAAAATTTCAAATTGTAAAGTTTACATTTATTATTTCGGTGATTTTTGAATAATTTAACACATATGTATTTGATGATAGATTTTATTTCATGCTAAATTGAAATAAGCCGAAAATTTATTGTTCATTTCACTTTTATACCATTATGCTTATTGTATTGTATTAATGAATTTCAAAGTTAATTCAGTAAAAATCTCAAATTTTGAATAGATAAAAAGTTGTAAATTTTTCAATTTATCGTAGGAAATTATATATTTGTTATAATTATTTTCCTAAGATAAATTGAAGAAAGTACATGCACGAAAAGTGACAATCTCTTCTTTTTTCCTAGGGTTACTGATTGCTTCCTTTCTGCTCTTCATGCCAGAAATGGAAGAAATGATTGGTGCAGAATGATTTATTACTCAAATTGGCAACTATCTTGTAATATACAATTCGTTGCATTGTCAGTTATTATCCCACATTATTCAATTTAAGTTCAACCTCGTTAATTTAAATCATATTGCAGTGGTACCATCGTGTTGAGATAAGACCAAGATTACACATGTTAAAACCACACATTAAAAATCGAAATTTTGCATCTCCAAAATGGAACGACAGAATTCCTCGTAATTTTGGCTTTCTACGCACCTTATGATACATATTCAAATTACTTGAATATAGAAAAAGTTACTAAGATTTGAGGAAATTTTTGCAATAATAAATTAAAAATCGGTTTTATTATATAAGTTACTTATGAATTAAAATTACCTCTATAATTAGTGTACAGTGCCTCACATAATCTTTGGATATTTCTGATTTCAAATTTATACATTTTGATTGGAATATTCATAACTCAAAACTAGATGATAATTACTACATTTATGCGAATACAGTACGTATCCATTCATCTATTTACTTGTTGTTGTTGAAATAAAAACATTATTATTTTACTATCTTAAAATAAGAATTTTGTTGTGTTATTAATATTTTTATCAAAAATGATGACATTATATCAACCATTAAATGAAGTTTTATCAAATTCGATATCAAAATCAAAAATCAGATGTTTTTTATGAGTAAAAACGTGTTAATTAGGCGATTTGACTAATTATACATTACATTTATTTTCCAAATTTTTTTTGAAATTGATTTTTTCAAGAGAAAAATTAATTTTTTGATTTTCATTTTTGAATTTTTGAATTTTTTTTGGAATTTTGAGTTGATCAATTAAGCAGAATGAGTTATGGGAATGCTTTAAACATCTCACAATGTGATGAATTAAAGATGAATCTTAAAAAAATTACTTTAAATCACAAAAATCATCCTTATTATCATTTGTTCCAAAAAGGATAGTACTAAGTATTGATAAACCATGATCTATATTAGTAAAATACTTGAATAAAAAGTATAAAAGTAAAGTTTTTATTCGTTTTTATATTAGATTTAAACGAAAACATGTTTCATATTAATATCTTAGTCGACAGATGAGATTTTATTCGTATTTGTTAGCATTCAGTAGACATTCTAATATTGAATTTTAAATTTTACTTAAAATTATTAATAAATGTGAGGTTTTGCTTCGATTTCTGATTAATTTGATTAAATTGTCTCGACATGCATCTTGAATAATATCGTTTCTTGAGGAACTCCAAGATTTTCAAGAGACTTCTTGCGATATTTGATAAATGATAAGAACTCTCATTTACGAAAAAAGGTTTATTGAATATAAAATATTTCTGTAATGACTCATTTTCATTATACTATTTTCAGTCAAATCCTCAAAAGTTAATATTCAAATCTCTTATTTAGCTGAGAAACTGGATACTACATAATGGATCATATTTATGTAAGCTGGAAATGGTATAGTTACATTCAAAAGCCCCAATTCTGCTTCAATTTGAAATTCAGAATATGAATATTGATGTTCACTTATATTTGAAATTACATTTGATATTTAAATCATAATTTGATGATTAATTGATAAAAATTATAGAAATTAAAATCAATTATGAAATTTTATTCTCTTGATAACTTTTCAAAATAAGATCATATTATTCATATTTGGAGCCTACTGATTCTAAATATCCTATTTATTTGAAAATCTATCGTTTAGAACTCTCGCGAATGTTCCTTGTTCACTTATCTAACCAGACTCGCACTTGATTTTATATAACTTAGAGATTAGTAGATTTATAGCATCTTTTAAATTGAGGTTAGAACAAAGTTTTTGAAAGGACGATTTGAAAGTAATGGAAAATAATATTTGATGTTGTATAACTAAGAACAGATTTTTATCTATAAAGATTTTTTTATTCTCAATTGCAACGTTTTTTATAAAATAACGAAAATATGATTTTATATATGCATAAAATAATTCTTTAGTTTTTAAAATAAATCAAAACTGTCATGTTTTCATACCATAACCGTTTTCTTTATATGAATAACTAAGTGATGATATAAAGATCTATATACCGTCAAAATATTTCATTGCTGATTGAGATCAAGTTGGAAGAAATAATTCAATAATGTAAAATTTATCTCAAAAAAATAATATTTTATATGAAGCATAAAGAATAAAATGATTCCAAAATACAAATTTTTATTGAATTGATTTAGAATTAGATTTATGCTTTTTATTTAAAACCGAAAATTTCATTTATTTATTATGAATTCAAGTGAAGTTAAAATTTTATGATTTTCATCCAAATAAAAACTTATTATATCGTTTTTTTTAAAACAAAATATGATTCCTCTACTAGTTTATAGAACAAGTTCTGCAGTATCGACAAATGCAAGTAGCGTTGCAAGCGGTTATGCTGAAAATCCTTCTACATTACCAGACCAGTTTAAGTATGAAAATTGTGAAATTGAAAATATATTTAAAGGAGGTTATACAAATCATTTTTACTCTTTAGCCAATGGGACCTCAAAGTGCTTCTATGGAAGTTACATTATTGCTGGAAATGCTTCTTACGGTATTGAGTCAAAAACTATTAGAATATTCAAAGAAAATGACCATGTGAAGAAAGATATCGTATCAACTCGGTCATTTCAAAACGCTGTCGCAGTTATTGCAGCCAACTCTACAAATGCTGATGTAGCGTATAATTTTGCTTTGTACTCTCCCGTGGTTTCTAAGGTTACATGCTCTGAAGATTGCTTACTTCAAGTAGTTAAAATACCTAACCCTATATCGTATACTACAGATAGTAAGAATACAAAGGAAATTAAAGTTTTTATCATCATTGACCATGCTCCTCCAGATGTATTAGAACAAAAATACCAATTCTCCACAGAAAACAAATCATTTTCATTCGAAAACCTTGTCGCCGTTTATTCAAAATCTCGTAAACCTTCTATATCAGCTACCTCCCAGATCACTGCCAAAATGACCGTAGATGGAAGTGACTCCACACAAGATGGCAATGTAATCGCAGTCAAAGTAAATTATGACGATTTGCTCAAAACTGACCCTTCAGACGATAAGAACGAGACAATTAACTATTCAACAGAGAAATCTACAAAAACTGCTATTTCACTCTTCAAAGCAGGTTTAGGCACTGTAACCGATAATGGAGCTTCTTTACTGACACTTAATGGACTTGGTTGGGTAGGTACAGGAACTTCTTACACAATACTTGATAGTGGCGATCAAGGTAAGGATATCGCAATCGCAGTCTCAGCAACCCTCGGAGCTGTCTCGTTGGTCCTCCTTCTCGCACTTGTCTGCCAATGCAAGAAGAAATGCTAATTTTTTTAATTCATTTACCATTTAAACTTTTTTTATTTATGCCGAACTAATGCTATTTACTTTTATCATATTTAATCCTATTTAGGTTTGTATTATTTCAATATTTCGATGAATTTTCTTTGATTCCATTTTGAGGGATGAATACGCTTGGTACAATGTGTCTAAGTCAAAAAAGTCTTATTAGATCCGATTGCTGGAATTATATTGAATAATTTTGGTTAAGCCGAATTGGCAACTTGCCTTACATCCAAGTTAAAAGTTTAGTCGTTCTGATGCATGAAAATCGTTTGAGGCATTCATTAATAAAAAGACAGATAATTATTGAGATTATCACCAATTGTTTAACCAAAAACCATCCAAGTATTGAAAATATAGGAGAAGAATAGATTGCTATTATTCATAAGGTGTTTTAATCTTTCTAAAATGATTTCTCCCTGAAATCAGAATCAAATTTTATACTAAAAGGTACATGCACGAGACTTCCCAACGATAGATTTTCAAATAAATAGGATATTTAGAATCAGTAGGCTCCAAATATGAATAATATGATCTTATTTTGAAAAGTTATCAAGAGAATAAAATTTCATAATTGATTTTAATTTCTATAATTTTTATCAATTAATCATCAAATTATGATTTAAATATCAAATGTAATTTCAAATATAAGTGAACATCAATATTCATATTCTGAATTTCAAATTGAAGCAGAATTGGGGCTTTTGAATGTAACTATACCATTTCCAGCTTACATAAATATGATCCATTATGTAGTATCCAGTTTCTCAGCTAAATAAGAGATTTGAATATTAACTTTTGAGGATTTGACTGAAAATAGTATAATGAAAATGAGTCATTACAGAAATATTTTATATTCAATAAACCTTTTTTCGTAAATGAGAGTTCTTATCATTTATCAAATATCGCAAGAAGTCTCTTGAAAATCTTGGAGTTCCTCAAGAAACGATATTATTCAAGATGCATGTCGAGACAATTTAATCAAATTAATCAGAAATCGAAGCAAAACCTCACATTTATTAATAATTTTAAGTAAAATTTAAAATTCAATATTAGAATGTCTACTGAATGCTAACAAATACGAATAAAATCTCATCTGTCGACTAAGATATTAATATGAAACATGTTTTCGTTTAAATTTAATATAAAAACGAATAAAAACTTTACTTTTATACTTTTTATTCAAGTATTTTACTAATATAGATCATGGTTTATCAATACTTAGTACTATCCTTTTTGAACAAATGATAATAAGGATGATTTTGTGATTTAAAGTAATTTTTTAAGATTCATCTTTAATTCATCACATTGTGAGATGTTTAAAGCATTCCCATAACTCATTCTGCTTAATTGATCAACTCAAAATTCCAAAAAAAATTCAAAAATTCAAAAATGAAAATCAAAAAATTAATTTTTCTCTTGAAAAAATCAATTTCAAAAAAAATTTGGAAAATAAATGTAATGTATAATTAGTCAAATCGCCTAATTAACACGTTTTTACTCATAAAAAACATCTGATTTTTGATTTTGATATCGAATTTGATAAAACTTCATTTAATGGTTGATATAATGTCATCATTTTTGATAAAAATATTAATAACACAACAAAATTCTTATTTTAAGATAGTAAAATAATAATGTTTTTATTTCAACAACAACAAGTAAATAGATGAATGGATACGTACTGTATTCGCATAAATGTAGTAATTATCATCTAGTTTTGAGTTATGAATATTCCAATCAAAATGTATAAATTTGAAATCAGAAATATCCAAAGATTATGTGAGGCACTGTACACTAATTATAGAGGTAATTTTAATTCATAAGTAACTTATATAATAAAACCGATTTTTAATTTATTATTGCAAAAATTTCCTCAAATCTTAGTAACTTTTTCTATATTCAAGTAATTTGAATATGTATCATAAGGTAAGTAAAAAACCAAAATTACGAGGAATTCTGTCGTTGCATTTTGGAGTTGCAAAATTTCGATTTTTAATGTGGGATTTTAGCATGTGTAATCTTGTTCTTATCTCAACGCGAGGGTATAGCTGCAATATGATTTAAATTAACGAGGTTGAACTTAAATTGAATAATGCTGGAGAATAACTGACAATGCAACTAATTGTATATTACAAGATAGTTGCCAATTGGAGTAATAAATTATTCTGCATCAATCATTTCTTTCATTTCTGGCATGGCGAGCAGAAAGGAAGCGATCAGTAACCCTAGGAAAAAAGAAGAGGGGTGTCACTTTTCGTGAATGTACCTTTTTATACTATTCGCTCTATAAAATGATCATATACAGTCAACCTAAACCTTATTCAGAATATTTTTTAAATATGTAATAAACAGAAATTCATCAAAAGTGACAGCTCTCAATTTTTTGACATTTGTAAATTCTAAATTGAATGAGAAAAATGAAATAATACTAAGCATAATACAATATTCTAGATTTAATTATAATCAGGAAAAGTTAGTTTTGAGAGTACTTTTCATAGGCATATAGAATGAAATCTTCTGAAAAAGAATATCACATAAACTCATATTATTTTCTAATATATAACTATTTTATATAAAAATCAAATTCAATGATCTTAAAAGCGAAGGATAAACCTCAAAATTTACGAATATAATGAGTGGGAATATTTCATATGGTTTTATGATAGATAAGCATTATATTCCCACTCATTATATTCGTAAATTTTGAGGTTTATCCTTCGCTTTTAAGATCATTGAATTTGATTTTTATATAAAATAGTTATATATTAGAAAATAATATGAGTTTATGTGATATTATTTTTCAGAAGATTTTGTGTTCTTCTTCAAAATTTTATTTTTTTATTAAAAAGAATCTTTACAAAATATACATTTACTTAAATTAATATTTAAAAACGTGCTCTATCAAAAGTTCCAAAAATTCAATATTTTAGCTTTTCTGAGGTGTCACTTTTGATGAATTTCTGTTTACAACAAATATGTTCGCATTTTATTGTTTTAGAAAAAGTGACTTTTATATCCAAATGTTGTTTCAATTATTTTCTTTTTCTTGCTCAGTGAAGCCAGAAAAATATCGTCGTTGCGATCAATCACCTTTCTGTCTTCGCAATAGAGATATCGATGCTCAACATTGGTCAATTAAACCAGAAAATGTTAATTTTAACTCTCAAAGTTTCACAGCAGTCATTGATGATAATGATCATCTCTCACAACTTGACTTAGCAATTTCTGTTTTGAAATCAAATTCATTACATATTAAAGTAAAACCACATAAACAAGAATCATTCAACAGATTTGATACAGAAACAGAGCCAATATTAATAGATCAGAACACAGTTAGAGATTTTGCTCCAATATCCGTTGATAAACAAGCATCTCAGGCTACAATTTCTTCATCAAATTCAAAATTTGTTGTCAACTATTCTCCATTCAAGGTAACAGTTATCGATAACTTAGGCGAAACAGTTGTAGTCAACTTCAACGATACAGCAATTTTTGAAACTAGTCTAGATAAAGAACAATATCCAGATTTATACAAAGAGCATGATTTCAATGGTTTCCATGATACATTCAAGAATGGTCCAACAGCTGTTGCTATGTCATTCAGATTCAGTGGCAAACAAACAAGATTATCCGGACTTCCTCAACATACTCTTCCATTATCACTAGGAAACACGAAACCAGGCGATCCACTTCGTTTCTTCAACACTGACATCAACGAATTCGAAATTGGCAACGGAATGTCCATGTATGGCGCAGTTCCTTTTGTATTAATGCATTCTCTTGACAAAACTGCTGGTTTATACTGGTCAAATCCATCCGAGACCTGGGTTGATATCAATAATGCCGAAGATAGATCACATTCCGATATCAGGTTCATTTCCGAAGGTGGCTTCATCGATTTCTACATTTTCCTCGGCCAACCATCTGAAATTTCCAACTCCTTCACAAAATTGGTCGGACGGCCACTCCTTCCGCCACTTTTCGGTTTGGCATATCACCAATGCCGCTGGGGATACATGACTCAGCGAGACTTCCAGGAGATATCCGAAGCGATGGATGAAAACGGAATCCCTCACGATGTCATGTGGCTCGATTTAGACCATACAGACGACAGAAAATACTTCACATTCCATCCGAAGAACTTCCCTGACCCGAAAGGCATGCACGAGTTCTTTGCAAAAAATAACAGATACGTTGTTACCCTCGTTGACCCACATATCAAAGCCAGATCTGAATATTGGGTTTATCAACAAGGAAAAGACAAAGGAATCTACATGAAAACGAAGGACGGCGGAGAGTACAACGCTCACTGCTGGCCAGGAACCTCAGCATGGCCCGATTACATGAATCCAGAAACAAGAAATTGGTGGGAAACACTTTTCCAGTTTAGTAACTACAAGACGAGCTCACCAAACACATACATATGGAATGATATGAACGAAATATCAGTTTTCGATGCAAGCGACAACTCATGTCCAAGAGATTTAGTTCATTACGGAGATATCGAAGAAAGAGAGATCCACAACATCTACGGACACATGATGATCAGTAGTACATGGGGTGGATTACGTAAAAGAACAACAAAACCAATGAGACCGTTCATTTTAACGAGATCTTTCTTCGGAGGAAGCTCCAGATACGCTTTTGTATGGAGTGGAGATAACAAGGCTGACTGGACCCACTTGAAGAACTCAGTTCCAGTAGTTTTGAGCCATTCTATTGCTGGTATAGTGTATACTGGTGCAGATGTCGGCGGATTCTTCAATTCTCCGGACGAAAACCTTCTCAGCAGATGGTTCTCCGTTGCTGCATGGACATATACCTTCTTCAGAGAGCATTGCCATCATTTGGCAAATATGAGAGAAATTTATAAGATAAAGAACGAAAATTACAGAAACTTAGCGAAGGAAAGTGTTGTAGAGAGATACAAGATGCTTCCTTACTGGTATACATTAGCTCACGAGTCCAATCAGACAGGAAATCCAATTGTCAGACCATTATTCTACGAATTTTCAAGCGAAAACTTTGCTGACGAGAAGTACTTAGATTGCGATGACGAAGTAATGCTTGGAAAGCACCTCTTGGTCATTCCATTCCTCGAAGAAAACCAAGAAAGTGGAAGAGATATAATTCTCCCTCAAAAAGTTAATTGGTTCAATTTCAGAACTTTACAAAAGTATTCAATTTCACATGCTTCTTTTGAAAACTATGGCCAGACACTAGTATTGATCAGGGAAGGTTCTGTTGTTCCAATCAAAGACAGGATCAGGAAATCCTCGAGGTTCATGCACTACGATCCATTCACTCTCATCATTGCCACCGACAACAATGGATTTGCCAGTGGTAGACTGTACGCAGATGATGGATTAAGCGAGGACTTCGCAAAGGGAAGCTTCGTTGATAGAGAATTCACTCTTCAAAACGGAAAACTTTCGAACAAGGCTGTTACAAACGGTTTTGACAGGAAGTTCCTCGACGATTACGATGTAAAAGTTGAGAGGATCAAAATCACTGGATATCCATCCAAGCCTTCCTCCGTTAAAGGCCCGAATGGAGAGTTGGAGTTTGAATATGAGGATGGAGTCATTGACATTTCAAAGGCAAATCTTCTCGTAAGAGATGATTGGACATTGACAATCCAATAAAAAATATAAATTATATTTTTTTTTCTCATATAATTTCTTACATATACATTTTACATGTAACAGATAATCTTTAAATGAATCCTTAAGATTTGGCATTCTGGATTTTTCACTATCAAGAAAACTAAACTTGATATCATATTCTTCGCTTCGGTCTCTCAAAATTTGAGATAATAGAAAGCTTTACACGCGAAGAATATGATTTCAAATTTACTTGAATAATAAATAATTATATGTAATATTAATATAATCATTCTTATATATACTGTGCTATATTATAGTATAATCAAATTTCAATACAATGATTATTCATTTACTTTTTATTTTGAAGTTATGTGATTTTAGCACACTTCTTACAGAGGGTGATACACAACCCTATTAATTATAGTAATATTACATGCTATGTAATTGATTTATCTAAAGGAAAATGAAAATCAAGGGACCATAAAAATGAGACATTCTAATTAATTGATTATTAGAAAGTGTATATGTTAAAAAATTATAGAGAGAAATCAATAATAACTTTTTATCTTCAAGAAAAGACAGCAAGTATGTACAGGGCAAGATGCAAGACACGCAATTGCTGAGCGGATGAAAGTTTAATAATATATGTGATCATATATAAACTATTAAACTCTATATTATTTTGCACCATGCAAAATAAGGACATCTGCTATTTCATTACGATGATGATATTTTGCAATTTGAAGAGCGGTTTGTCCAAATGCATCTTTAGCATTGATATCTGCACCATGAGAAAGAAGAAATTTGACTGTTTTTATATCATTTTCACGTGCTGCACGATGAAGATTGGTTTCTCCATAATTACATTCTTCATTGATATTTGCTCCATGTGAGAGTAGAACTTCGGCCATTGCTTTATCATATAACTTTAATGCTCTCTGAAAAGCAGTCTCTCCAGCGTAATCTCTTTCATCGATATTTGCACCATGGGAAAGAAGAAATTCAACTGCTCCTTTACTATTCACCTCTATTGCACGATAAAGAATGGTTTGGTTTAAGAAATTTTTTTGGTTGATATCTGCCCCATGTGAGAGCAGAACTTCAGCAATTTCTATATTATTTTCTTCTAATGCAATCTGCAGAGCAGTTGTTCCATCTTCATATCTTTCATTGATATCTGCACCATGTGAAAGAAGAAATTCGACTGTTTCTTTACTATTATTCTTTATTGCAATCTGAAGAGCGGTATCTCCCTTTCCATTTTTTCATCGATAACTGCACGATGTGAAGTTAGAAGTTCAGCTACTTCTTTACTATTATAATATGCTGCTATATGAAGAGGAGTTTCTCCATATTCATCTTTTGCATTGACATTCGCTCGGCGTGAAATTAGAAGTTTAGCTGTTTCTTTACTATTAAAATATGCTGCATAATGAAGAGGGGATCTTTTATCATTATTTTTTGCATTGATAGGTGCTCGGCGTGAAATAAGAAGTTGGGCTAATTCTTTAAAATCATAATATGCAGCAATATGAAGAGCGGTGTCTCCATCCGAATTTTTGTCATAGACATCTGCACCAAGTGAAAGGAAATATTCACAAAGTGATGGAATATCAAATATCGCTGAATAAACAAAGCACAAATGAAAATTATTTGTTTGATCGAAATAAACAAAAAATGCTTCAAGGTTATTATATATTCCACAATAATATGAATCGATCTTCATTTTGTATTCATTCATCAAGAATGAAACAAAATCAATGTTGTGTGAAATAATTGCATTAATCATGCATTGTTCATCTGGTTTTTGATACTTCAAACATTCACTCATGATCTCTTGATTTCCGCCTAAAAATGAAAATTGGAGACATGTTTTAGTTATTGGTGAGTCAAATTTTGTTCTTAATAACTTGAAACAGTCAACTGCTCTGTGGTAACAACATAATTCAAGTAATGAATATTTTTTATCAGAATTATTTTGAGTCGTTGATCACTATCAAATTCTTCACTTTCAGTGAATACGATGAATCTTTTTATATCATTATTCATAATTGCTCTGTAAATTGTGTCTTCTGTATGAATTTCGAGGTTTTTGGATTTAATTTCTTTGAAATCATATGCTTTGTTTAATTTAATTCCATATTCTTTATAAAACAGGAAGTTTGAAATAGGATCTACATTGTTAACCTCTTGGACATGATAATCATCAGAGATTTGTTTGGCCAGAGATAAATACGACTTTGTATAGCGATTATTATACGGAATGATACTTAAAATATCTCGTATAATCTTAATTGGAGAATATTTCCATGCTTCAATTAGTTCTGTTTTGATTTGTTTGTAAATCGAGTTTATTCCTTCTTCATTTTCCGTTTTTAGCTGGTACAAAGCATTATATGAATTGATAAAGTATTCATAGATACTTCGCAATTCACTATATTTTTTAGGATGAACGTCTTGTTTGGACATTAAAAATTTTAAAAAGGACATTTTATTCGAAATCACAAGATTTATGACTTAGGTAATTGGGTTTGCAACACAATTACATCCCTTGACCCTTAAGCCGAATCAATTTTAAATCACTCAAAAATATTGCAACTTTTGGCTGCCCATTTAACATCCTCATGCTAGGCGCTACAAGTTCTTCAATTATTTACTCTAAAACTTATAAATATTCATACAAATCAAGTAGTATTTCTCGTAGCACATTCATTGCAGAAACTCACAAATGCTTATATACACCTTTTCAGTTTGTTATTTCAAAAAAAAAGGTAGTGGGGCTTCCAGGCGCGTTGCGCCCTCTAGCCCCGAAGATGTTTAGTATAAATGAAGTTTTTATTCGGAGGGCTTCCAGGCGCGTTGCGCCCTCTAGCCCATAAAAAATTTCTGAGGACGAGCCAGCCGTTGACTTTTTTGTAGAGCACTCAAAATAGTATAACTTTGTCCGGACAAGTAAGGGTCTATCGTCGCTACAGGAAAAGTTACAGGCGTTCCAAGGAAGTACTTTGAGAAGCCTTTTCTCCATTATAGAATGAGATAGGACGGTTATTTTACAAAACTTACAACACTTTGACCGAGTAGTTTTTTGTGCTGAACAAAAAGTGTCATATAAACATCTGTCAAAAACCGTTTTTTACTTCACTTAAAATGCCACGTAAGCTACGTAAGAATATACGTAAGAGGAAGGGAGCATTGAAACATCCAATAGTAAAACTGACACCACAACAACAGTTGCAACAACAAATGATGAATGACCCCACTATGTTGCAACAAATGTCAAGCAACCCTATGCTTTTAAACCGAGTTATTGGTGCACAGAGTGGAGGTTTAAGAGCGGCACTTTTAGCGAAAATGGCAGGCTATGGTGGAGCTGCAGACGGAACAGCTTATAACCCTCAAAGTCAAATGAATTTGAGTTCACTCAAAAATCAAATAACAGATGTCAAAAGTCAAACATAGACATACAGAAACAAATAAGTGAAAACGAAAAGAAACTAGAATATGACAGACAGACAAAGAAACTAAATGAGTTAAACGTAGAGAAAAGAAGAAAGAAGAACAACTGAAAGAACTAAGTACAGAGGAATATGCGAAAAAAGTGTCAGAAAAAGCAGCAGAAGTAGCAAAAATGGAACAAGATGTTATAAATTTGAAAAACCATACTACTCAATATAAAGTACTGAAAGATGAAGAGATAAAACAAAAGCCATGAAGACATATATGGATAGCAATGAGTATAAAAAAGAAGTTGAAGCAAATGTAAAGGCAGAAAAACTTTTACAGTTGCAAAACCAAACCGTACAGTATGAAAACTTAGCACAAGAAAGTAAAAATAACGACGCAGCCATGCAAAAGGCAATGAAAAGCGCAGATATTATAAAAGCTAATAATGACTGGTTAGATGCCCAAGCCAACGCTAAAGCAGCCCAACTTATAGGGTCAATAAGGACAAAAATACAAGCGGATGAAGACAGTTCAAATGAAGCTTTAATGAATGCTGACTTTAAGAATGCCTTCGAAGCTCTTCATAGTAAGGTGAAACTAGTGAACGACTTCTCATCTGGAAAGAAACTGAAGTCTGAAGGTTTCGACAAAGAGTTAAGAGAAGTAGCACAAAATATGACGAAAATAACAGATGCAGCAACGAGACAGGCAGTTCAAAGTGCCTATGACGCCGTTAGAGCAGCTGTTGTGGAAAGTCAAGAAAAAGAGTTACAACAGACCAAAACAGACCTAGTAAATGCTTTCTTAAAAATGAAAAGTCAGGTAGGACATTATGCTGCAGATGGAACATATGTGCCAGCTGGTGGAACTTATATACCACCAAACCCTCCAAGAGAAGCACCTGCACCAGGACTACCTAAAACATTTACATCGTCACATGGACACAGACACAGGCATGCACCACAACAACAACCAACACAACAACCAACAGTTCAAAATCCAGCACCACAACAACAACCAACAGTTCAAAATCCAGCACCACAACAACAACCAACACAACAACCAACAGTTCAAAACCCTGCACAGCAACCAACAGTTCAAAATCCAGCACAGCAACCAACAGTTCAAAACCCTGCACAGCAACCACAAACAGAGCAAAGACACAAAAGAAGTAGAGAAAAAGGAAACCAAGAATTCTTAAAAATGCTTAAGGAAGATTATGGTTACCCAGATACTCTTGACTTTAGTGACAGATATAAAGAAGCTATTAGAAAGTTCAAGGAAGGAAATACTGACCGAACCTATTTAGCTTTATGGTTCAGCATCAAATGGGATATAATCTCAAACCTGGAAAATACAAGCTCGCTAAGGATATGATTTTAATAGCATATCATCCAAATGACATGAATGAATTTACTCCGAGATATTTGGTGTCAGAGCTAAATGATAATTCAACTCTCTTCATGAAACGCGTAAAAAATAGAGACGGAACGAAAGAAGAAAGGTTTATGAGTCCGGATGACTTAGATAGGGAACTTGTTAAAACGGTCTCGGAATATATGAAATGCCACCAGATGAGGTACAAGAAACTCCACAGGAAGAAGTTCAGATACAACCAGACATGGAAGAAATAGTTCAGCAACAACAGCTAGAAGAGCCTGAAGGAAACGAACAAGTCCCTCCTTTGGAAACTAACTTCACAGAACTAGATGAAGATTTGGAACAGCCGAAAAATCTTGACCCTCAACAAGAGTATGAGGAGAATATAGAATCTTTCCAAGAGTCTAAGAAAAATTCGGCTGACATAGTAGAAGGATATCGAAAAATGTTCACCGACATACAAAAGACTCCAACATCAGATGAAAATATTCAGCAAAGAATGGAAGTACTGAAAGAAAATGTACACAAATACAATAATCCTTTTTACTTACGACCATATAACGTTCAATCTTTGGCTGAACTCGGTGAAAATAAAAGGTTAAATTTCAACAAAACATATAGAAATGAAACATTGTTTAAAGTTCATTCAGAACCTAACCAATATGGAAACAAACCTACTTTTGTTTCTGCAGACTATGGAACTACAATGAAATGGGGTCATAAAGCTAATACGGATAGGTGGTTCATAAACTTACAACCTCAATTCCAAGAAGTTGTAGACGCAATGGAAGTGAATGGTGAACCAGATATAACGGGTATTTTCAGCGCGGCTTTAATGCCATTGAAAGATATGAAAGATGCAGATATTTTGGACCAGTATGAAATGAACATGGCTGAGGGAAATATAACACCTGACGTTCTAGAACATTTATCTCAAAGAACTACACAGAACCATAGAGATGGTATATTTGGTGAAGAGTTTTAGAAAGAAAGTTAGGGAGAGAGAAGGAAGAGAACCTATTGTACATGACCTTGCAAACGAAAGTTTGCAAAATGTCATAAAAACTTACTTTGCAGACAATGAAATGAGAAGGGATGAATATTTAAGAAAACTCAAATGGACAGTACCAAATGAAATGTTAGTATTGAAAACATGTTCCATGACAAAATAAAACCAACTACAGAAATAAATGACGCAAGACTGAAACGTTGGGTAAAAGCTTTCCCATTCACAAAAGATATTATTGGTTACATGGAAAGAAAACCAGAATGGCTACAAAAACATATATTTGGAAACGAGCTTATTCCATATGGACAAGCTCTGTTTGAAGAGCTTGAACCGGAAACTCAGGAAAGAGTCATGCAAACAATAAGCGAAGACTCAAATACAAACTATGACAAAATCTTTCTAGGATATAGGTTACCTGAGATGGGCGACCAGAGCCCAAAGGCAAAAAGGACATGGGAAATTTACAACATACTAGGTGAACATGAGGCAAAGATGCTACAACTTGAAGCAGAGGGCAAGTTACCAAAAGCGACACCAAAGAAGAAGAGAAGAGTAGAACAAAGTGAAAGTAGTGAAGAAGTAACTTCATCTAGTGAAAGTAGTGGCAATGAAGGTAAAAGAAGAGTTAAAGATTCAGTTAAAAACTCAGTCAGGAAGAAAGTAAAGCTTGGTCCGAGTGGGTTCTATTATGACATATAAATCCAACTATTCTATATTTTTACCCATATGAAATGTACGCCGCTCAGAATATAACGCCAACAGTTTTGGATGCCATGAACGGAAATGTTTCCGAATGGTATAACGAATTCGACAATGCCATTAGAAGGTCAGAAATAGTTCCTGGAACTTACAAATATACAACTGCTGTTTCTTATGGAAACGTAGGTGAGTTTGGAGAAGGTTCTTCAACAACAGTAGATATTGCTTGCGACAGGTTTCATATTATTTCTATTGACAACTCATTCTTATACGTGGAACAAGACATTGAAATAAAACCTTCTGCCAAGTTGTCTGACAAGAAAGGTTGCAATGGAATTTTCTATGTCGGATACCAATATGCTCCAGAAGTTTTCATGGGATATAAGATATATTCTAACTCTGACTTAGTTCAAACAGTAACATGGGCAAACTATGAATGGTTCGCTTTGAGAAACTCAGTACAACCACAAGCTAGAGAACAAACAGACCAGTATGCAACTATTGAGAAAATAAGAAGACTTGACCCTAACGTTCCAGGAGTTTATGTTAACCTTTCTGGACAAACTGCAGCAGCAGTAACCAAAGTAAAACTGAAACTTAGAGTTCCTTTGTCATCTTTCCTCATCTTCAGGTTTTTAAGATACTTGCCAAACTGGGCAGGAAAAATTTCTATCGAACTTACTCCAAGCAAAAAGAACTTAGTCATTGCACCAACACAAGACCCATTCACTATTACAGACGTAAAGGGAACAAATCAAACGTCATTCGCCGAATTTTGCAAAGACAAAGTTGACTTAGACTTTGGTTTCTCAAACTTCAACAATGAAGTAAACTATTATTTCAATGCTGCTGGAACTGCTTGGGACCCGGTTAAGTTCACATGCGAAAAATTTGAATGCAAGAGAATAGAAAGCAGACTTGCAGTCTATATGTTGGACCCAGATATTTCAAATGCTTTAGCTGCCAAATATATTGCAGTTCCACTTATGTTCCCTATACACCAAATATCTGTCAAAGACTTTGCAGGTGAAGTTGGAAACCAAAATCCAGGAGCCGCAGGTGCAAGAACAGATATTGCTTTAACAACTGCAATGAAACATGCAGATACTATGTTTGTACTGTTCAGACGAACTATAAATGACTATTCTTGTTTCTACAACCCTGGTATTAAATATCATATAAACATAGAAGAGATATGGTCGCGAACTTATTGGAAAGAATTTAGGTCAGTTCCATTCCGACTTTGCAGAAATCACAAAAGATAAACAAAGTTTAGCTTATAAGTCGATATTTTGTGGAAAGAAGACTTACATTGATTTACTCACTAATGATTTAAATGAAGTTGCATTTCACTGCAGAATGAAAGGCGTAAAACAAGATGTTATAGCTTTAACAGCAAATGAAATGTTTCCTGAAGCAGTTCAATGCGTTTATGATGAAGATAAAGGATTAATGATTCCTCAGGGAAAATATGATAAAGATAGTGAGTTTTCAGTTATGAAATTATATGAAGCCCTTCATAGTAGTCAGGAAATTGCATTTGATTTATGCAAATCATCCGCTCCGTGTTTTGAAGAGAAGTTTAACTTTTCAATAACGACTAAAAACACTTTCATAAGAAAGTTAAAGTTCTGAAGTCAATTCATAAATGATATAATAATATTTTTTTATCGTTCAAGACAAAAATAAACTTTTCATATTAAATTATGTAAGCGTTTGAATTTACTATACGTAATGCATGTTCTTTTTCCATTAACATCATAAACGTTAACATATAATGAACCATTTATGTTTTCATTAATGTATAGTTCTTTATACTGACGACCGTTATAATAATAAAACAAATCTGCATTGATGTCGTAAAATAAATCCTCAAATTCATGATTTCCATAATGTGAAACAGTAATTGAATTTTCACTGATTTCATCAACGAAATTATATTCTACTCCATTTGCTTTACTTCTATTTCTATTATTTGTAGAACTTGAACACCAATGTAGATTATCAATCTTATTATTATTTCTTACTTTATCGTAATGGTCAACTTCCCCAAAACTACCAGGATTATCAATCCACTGAATAGCTATTAATCTATGCTTAAGATATTTTTTACCGTTAAGGGTTAATCTTATATATCCATTCTTTTCTTCATACTCACTGACAGTCTTTCCGTTTTTCTTTCTTCTTATTTGATACGGATATTTTGTGTTAATTTCGTAATCTTCATCAGCAACTAACGTTTCCCAGTTATTATTTTCCATCGTTTTATAAAAATAAAAAAATCAGAAAATTAAAAATTAACTACATTTATTTTTTTACTCTTCACCTCCATCAGCAGCTAAATTATAATCATCAATTCTAACAGCAGGGATGCCGGCTGGTCTAACTTGAATAGCGAAACAAGCATTTCTAAGAAATCCTAATAAAGGTTTGACAGTGTATTTTTCGCTTATATTTGTATCATCAGCTTTAACACCTAATTTATATGTAATTGGTGCCGTTGATGTTTGACCCTGTTGAAATGTGAAATCCGTAGGGAATCCACGTTATCGTATATCACATATAAATGTTTAACGCTTCCATCATCAATTAACGACCTCATCACATCTTCATTAAATCCTATCATATCGTTATTTGTATTGCATGCATTAGCAACCATTTCATAGAACACAGGACCATAAGAGCTTTCGGGTTCAGCTGGCATACTTCCATAAGCGCCCATTGATAATTGAAGGGTTTCAAATTGAGGATTTTCGAAATTCACGATATAATTATCATTCTTCCTAAATAAAGCCCAAATGCTTTTAACGTTAATTGGTGTATAAGCTGCTGTGAAAGTTGCTGATGGTGAACCTTTACTGAACGAACCGTCCATAGGAATCCAGTCCATTACTTTAATTGGAAAACATAAAGCTTGTGATGTATAATGATCGACTAATTCAGTGTAAATATTTGGATCGAGTGAAAATGCTTTAGGATGAATGAAGCAATCAATGAATTCAGCTGATTTCTTCGTTAATCTTTGTTCAACTGTTGAAACAGTAATTTCACCATTTGATTTAGAAACTGCTGTTATCATATTGAATGGTTCATTCCATGGAACAAATTTATTAGTTGGTGGGTCATAATTATCTTTTACCTGACTGATTAAAGAAGGATTATGAGCTAAAATATCTTCTACCGGCAGTGCTGTTACCTGGAATGCATCGCTACTAAATTTAACCTTTAACTGAATGTTGCCTGCAAAAGCAGGAATAAATCTAATAACTTCTAGAATAAGGAATTTACGACATGGAATCTTTATTTTAATGTCAAAATTAATTTCAGCTCCTGCACTAAAGGTCCTGAGATAATTTGACCTGTTCGAACTGTTCCAGAACGTTTCCATACATCTTTATGTCTCGTTTTTGAGAAAACATCAACTTTCTTTATTTGTTCTGTAGTCTGTGAATTAGAAATGATATATGCTTCTTCTCTTGCGTTATCCTGACTATAAATAACTCTTCCATTTGCTAATAACTGATATGCTTCAATGGTGTAAATTGATTCATCAAAAACGCCAAAGAAACCTGGAGAATTAGTATTTGGAATTGATGAGCCAGTAATAGCTTTATCCAGGATATATTTACTTTTATAGGTAGTTGTAAGGAATGTGTTATAAAGGTCTAGCATATTTTCACCTGGCGGAGATAAATTGAATGTGACCCAGTTATGATCCTTTGCGCTTCCTGGTTGTGATGGAATTTTTGCATCGATATATCTTCTATTAGTATCACCAATATTAATTGCATTATCGATTACATCAAAATATGAACGAATTTGATGGATATGTTCAGCTGGTGTAAATTCGTTAAGCTGTTCGTTTTGCATGTTTTATGTTAGATAAAAATATTTATTTAGTTTAATATTCTAACTCTTCTTCTTAGTTGAGGAATTTGTTTCTTTTGTTCAATAATTTCATGTTTTACGTTTTTCACAAACTCTTCATTAATTTTGGTTTCCTGCTCTTTTACTGGTGGGTCTGGATTTTTTGATTCCGTTTGCTTTTCAATGAAATTTACAAATTTAGCTATTAATTCTTGATTCGTTATCGAAAGTACATCGGGTTTAGGTTCTGGTTTCCTTTATTGTCCTGACAGCCTCACTGTCTTCCGCTTTTGTTTCAAGTTTAGGTTTTATATCTATTTTATCAGTTTCCGAATTCGTTAATGGAACTCGTCTTTTTCTTACATAAATTTTTCCATCTTTACTTGTTGATACATAATATAATGGATGCTGAATTCCTCTTGCATCATTTAATATAATCGATTGTCTCTCAGATTTGATAGGCTCATATTTAATTCAAATAAAATTTTTAAATTTTGAATTTTTTATCGGTAATCAAATGAGTCAGGAATTAGATATTGAAGCCATCAAAAAAGAAATTCGTGAGCAGATATTAACAGAACTAAAGACACCTAAAGCCGAAGAAAAACCGGTAAAACCAAAAAGGAAATTAAGTGAAAAGCAGTTAGCCGCATTAGCTGCAGGAAGAGAGAAGAACCCGCGAATGAAAGCAAAAAGAGAACGTGAGGCTAAAGAAAAAGCTGAAAAGGAAAAGGCTGAAAAGGCTGAAGAGGCTCATTGAGCCTCATGAGGGTCGAAGACCCTTTTCCATTGAGAAGAAAGAATAAATGATATATTTTTGTTTGTAATAAATGTATAGACAAGTACCTTTAACAGTTGCTTTCAGTTCTGAAGACGAAAATGTTAAAATAAATGGAAATAGAATTACCTTTAAACTACCTATTGACTGGACTGTGAATATAAATGAAAAATATATTGGTTTATCAAATATGTATATAACGCGAGGATTTAGAAAGGTTGAATTTGAGCTTGAAGTTGTTGTTATAAACGATACACAAGAATTTAAGCAAACTATTCACATATATAAATATTTCAAAGACGACACAACATTATATGAATGCATGAATGATTTTAATGAAATTTTCGAAAAGAAATTTAACAAAAACGCTTTAGGATTAAATGTGTATCTTGATAAATTAGGTGAAGAAGGAATTCATCCGCAGATTATAGACTTTCATTATGAATTTATTGAACAAATAGATGATTCACATACATGCACATTTGTTATATACTCGCCGTTTAATGAAGTAGCAGAAAAGAGACAAAGTGATTTTAGGATAGGTTTTAAAATTTCTCAGTATAATGAAGACTTCATGAATGTATTTAATTATAAACCCGGAGAAGAACGAACAGTGTTATCACCAATAATAACATATAATGTATGGGACAGAAAACAAGTCATTTATATTCAAATATCGCTAAAGGGGTTGAAAATGAATTTATCGGTCATACTAGAGCATCACCATTAACAAATATTAAATATTATAAGTTATCAGGAAATAATAGAGAGTTTTGGATTGATATGTATTCTACACACGATCATAAATGCCCCGTTGTGTTACCCGAAGACGGAAAGGATGTTTTCTTCCTTGAGGCTCAGTTACTGAATTCAACTATCGCAACTTTATAAGAAAATTTATGAAAAATTCACAAGGTGAGAAAAGACCCAAAGGGTCTGAGCCACTAAGCGGCTGAGGTTAGATATCGGGTTAGATCTAACCTTCTACCCTAAAATTAATTTTATCATTTATGAAAAATTTAGTATATACAGAAATTAAAAAATTTTTGAGTTAATTTATTTTTAAAAAATTATTTTTTTACTCTGGGTGTGTTGCATGCTAAGTTCGGTCAACGATAGAAATTGAGTGGAAATTAATCGTCGAAGAAGTACGATTATGTAAAGTAAAAAAATGTTGTGGGATTTTTAATATTATATATTATTTTATAATAAATTTTTTTTGAGTCATTTTAAGAAGCACATATAATTTTTTGAATTTAAAAATTAAAGTAGTGTCAAACGAATTTATCACTTAATTTAATACTCAGATTTCTTAAAATTAATGAAAAAAAGGTTTTCTGAGAACTTTTGAGAATGGTTTTCAAATTCCATTATTGAAAATATATAGGTATTGTATGAAATTCAAACTCTATATTTATTAAAATTCTAAATTTTTAATAAAATAACTTTTCAGAGGAATATGATTTTGAATGGTTGATTAATAAGTATAAAAATGTCTACGATTTTAAGGAGGGAATTGTTCCTTATGAGGTATACATCATAACTATATACCTCATAAGGAACAATTCCCTCTTGATAGCTGGGAAACTTTCTCTGAATAACTTATCATTTGGAGAAAGT